CCCCCCCCCCCTAAAAAAAATATGTTGAGCTGGTCCTAATAGATACCCATTCATTGTACCATTAACACATAATATATGTGTTACAATTTGGCAGATCATACACATGAAACAACAGGATATTAAGAAAACAAAAACAGTATAATTTTCATTAAAGGAAAGACTGGTTCTAAATGCACATTTGTGTACTCAAGATAATTTCAATCCCATTTACATACCATTTATTTAGAAAATGAAGCCCACTTTTTGGGTCATACAGTAATAGGATTATGTGCTCAACATCATGTCATTGTGGTGTAGGCATCTGTGACATGCATAACAAAAACACAAAAAGCAAGTCTACCCACATCTTTTAGAACTCAGTCAGCATTGAAGCCTTTTCAACAACAACAACAACAACAAAAGAAGTGGATTGACATTACAGGAAAATGTGGATTTATCATTCCTTTTCATCTCGATATATGAAAATTAATCAAATCTGAATCAGTTGTAAAGAAATATTTCAGACTGATATATTTATTTCTATAATTAAGTGGGCAAGGCCAAGATGAACAGCTGGCTAGACAACAATACCTGAATGAAAATAGCTTGAATTTAGAGAGAGAAAAAAAAAACTTGTTTTAAAGCAAAATACAAACAGCAGAGTTACAAAGCCAATCAATCTCTTCTTTTCCCTTTTTCCTCTACTGGAAAAAAGGCAATATCATAACAAAAACCAAACAAATCAACAAAAGTTAAGGATAGATCACACTTCACCATCTCTAAATCTATCACAAGTGACGAACATGTTAAATAGAAATGATTCTCAGTTTGAGCACAGCAACAACATGTTCTTTGGATATAAAATTTATTCATTAGAGTAACATGTCGTCTGATACAGCCCCTCAACATTTAAGAAACACTAGGGCCAGTTATATATACTTTAGGCAGCTTTCATTAGGTCTGAGTCTGATTTGAAGGCTCTGATCCATTCATATCAACAGTAACCGCGTCCACGGATGTCTCAGCACTGTTTTTCATAACTCCGTACAGAGGGTTAGAAAATCCTTCCTGAGGTGCATCATCATCTACCTCAGGACTAGTGGTTCCTTTTGAGAAAGAAACGGAACCCGAAGGATCCATGAGGATTTCTGAGCCATCGTTCATGGACTGAACCACTGGGTCATCAGGGTCCCCTTGTGACATGCTGTACATCTGATTTTGCATGGTCAGAGAGCCGTCGTAACTGTGCTCTATGATGTCATCGTGGAAGCGCTCATGTGGAATACTAGGCTTGGTCCTCAGTCTGTACTTGTAGACCAGGAAAACAACCACAGCAGCCAAAACAATGGCCAGTACAATAGTAATGCATGCAGCAATGATAACTTTGGTCTTTCTATCTTTCTGATCCCTCTTCTCTCCCGAACCTGGGAGCTTTGTGGGTATGGCCGGTGTCGGAGTGATTTGTGAAGTTGTGACTTCCTTGACTTGGGTAGTTGGCAGCTTGGTGGTGAACTCTATCTTGGGACTTGTAGCTGGCTGGGGAGCAGGGGGCTTTGTTGGGGGAGCAGTAGGTGGTTTTGTTGGGGGAGTAGTAGGTAACTGTGTAGGGGCTTTGGTTGTGGCCGGACTTTTTGTGGGCTTTGGTGTTGAGACTTCTGATGGAGTTGAGGCAGGGGGTGGCACTGTAGTCTCTGTATAATCTACAAGAAAAACCAAAATAGAAATCACTGTTTATACTTACATTAATTACAATGGAATAAAAACAAAATTATTTTGAAAAGAGGGTGAACAAAAGGTAAAATACCAATATGTTATAATTCAACACAGAGTACAGGTAAATCAGTAACATCCATTGCTGAAAAGTCATGACTGCCTCAAAGAAGTCCATGTATTACATAAGCAGTTACTAGAACTAGAAGTGTTACAGAGAAATGTGGATGAGAGAGAAGGTGTAAGCATTAACACTGTAACTTTCTTGAAACCAAAAAAAATGGAAATTAGAGATACTCCCACCATGTATGTACATCCGAATACAGTGGAACTTGGATTCAACTAGCTCGGATTCAACTAAAACTCGGTTTCAACTATATAAGAGTTAAGTGTATTTTCCTGGAATTTTCCAGCATTTCTTCGGTTGGGCATCAAAGAAACCAAAATACCTCTCATTTGAAACCAAACTACTTTTGACTGAGAAAGTCGATACACCATATTTTTTTACTTGTTCAGTGCCTCTAATTATCTACACAAGAACCTCATGTTTGCTACAACGAACACTCGGACTAAACGAAATTAAATGTCAGGCCCGACGACTTTATTGAATCCAAAGTCCACTGTACATTGCTTGTGCAGTTTCAAGCACCCTAAAACTCTTTCCAAACAGGCAAGAAAAAAACACATTTGAACCGGTGCAAGATGGAGTCACAAGGGAGCCCCAAATAAATTATGTCTTAGACAGGGGAATTTAGGGGGAGATGGTGGTCAAAATTTCACAACTCTCAAAAGCTATACTCTCTGATAATGGTATGCATCAGTCCTAGTCATCCATGGCCACCAGTTCCTGCATTTCATAGGACCGCTTTTTGACCTATTAAACACAGAGACGTCAGTACATCTCCTTTGCTTCCACCCTGAGCCCCACCTATCAGTGTAATAAACACAGTCAACCAATGCCACCCCTCTCGAGCATGTAACAATGATTTGAGGAACTCTTTTCTCGACTGGCATTGGTCAAACAATTTCACTCCTTTGGCCTCTGGCTACTCATGAAAGTTTCTGAGCTAGAGGGCCATTTGAGTACTTTCACAGGCACTGGTGAGATTTCCTACCCGTACCACCCTGACCATCTGCAATGCAAAGGGCTTACATGGATGAGTTAATATCTAACCTCCAAATTGCACCCCTACTCCCCTTACTTGTCTGGTGGGCAAGGCGTAAATATTAGAGTCAATGGTTCCAAACTTGACTGTTTTGTTTCAAAACAGGGCTGAGTGGGTAAAGCATTTTCTTCTTAGACAGGTATAAAAATTCTCTAAATGGAAGAAATTTCTCTTTCTGTTTCTGCGTTAGACAGGCTTCCGTTTTATAGAGGTAATTATAATGGAATTCATAAAGGGAGGAAAGGGGAGATTCCGTTATGATAGGTTTCCGTCTTAAACAGGTTTTTGTTAAGGCAGGTTTGACTGTACTATCAATAGATGTCTCCAGTTAGTAGAAGAAAGACTAACAATGTACAGGTGACACTCTCCAATCATCTGCACAGATATATACGCTGAATCATATCAGTGTGAGTCATAGTGTGTTTTAAAATTGCTGAGAATTTGAGCAGCTTTCATTCATTAGAACTTATCAAATACCAGTCCAAAAACAAAGACTCTGCCCTGATAAGTTTCTGCCTCAGCATGTTTGGAACTATTGTTAAAGTAAATAAAATTTGAAAAGGATGAGAAACATACTAAAGCAGACAACACCAGCATCCTCAGAGTGGTCGCAGTTGTGTGCGTTGATACCTGTCGATTTACACAGCCCAATATTGGTCTCATTTCCCAAACATTCCACATTATCTAGGAAAATGTTCCCTGTTCCTGTTTCATAATCTGATTCCATGACGATGCCTGTTGGAAAAAAAAGCAGAACAAAACAAGATTGTACTCTATTAGAGACAACAGAAACAACATAAATGTGTCTAATATAACCAAAGAAAATGTTTGTGACTATAATGTTAAACAGCTCATCACCCTTCAGTGTTGACAAACTGTTGTCTCCTTCTTGTTTGTGCACATGTACATTGCCCCTTATACTTGATGAGGGTGGTTTGCTGACACTTTCCCTGACTTCATCATAACAAAAAACAGAGAAAACGTGTTGCCCTAGTGGCACAATGCTTCTGCTAGCCCCTCATTCCATAGTACTTGGTTCAAAGTCAGGCCGGGACCATGTGGGCATGGCCATGAGAAAACACTTCACATCCTTATAATTAATTGAAAAATGATAAGGATCTAGCCTTTAGTCTTCTTGGATAAGGATGAAAACCTCAGAGTTTGAGAAAACATGTTTGTATGTTGCGTATATCAAACATACCATGGCAGTTGAAAGTTGAAGAAGCATTGATCTACACAGTCTGGTTTATAAAAGAAAAATGATAAAAGTTTGAAATTTCTGTCTAACACCAAAGAAACTTTGGTCAATTCAAATAAGTAAAAGAACCTTTGCGAACACCATGAGGCAACCAGAGGAGAGGAAGGTGAGGGAAGTGAGTTCATAAGTGGTATACGGTATACTACAATTACTTCCACTGAGATCTTGAAGGGGTGAGCAACAGCAGAATAAAAAATAATATTCATGGTGTTTGGTTTAAAATTATTCCATGACTTCATGAAGTTTTTGTCAAACTTGATCCTCTGCATGCAGTTTGATCACAAAACTGATTACCCCACCCTACTCCACCCCACTTCAACAAAGTCGGCTACCAGGTGTATGATTGTCCTTATGAGACAGGGAACCACAATGTTTTAAAAGCACAGCACTTGTGTAAGTTAGAGCTGCTCTTTTTCCTCAAGCAGACTTTGAAATCACTCTATAAGGGACAACATAAGTTTTTAAACATTTCTACATTCCATATATTATTTTGGGCTGAAGGGCAAAAACCTGTAAGTTGCTGGATCAATAGCAACAACAACAATATTACTTTGTTTTATTTCTTGAAACCGAAAAAAAAAGGTTAAGCTTTTCTTTAACGGGAGGAGCGAACCTTTCGAGGTCCATTTCCTATGTTTGTTGCCCGATATCAAATCTAAGTACACATTTAAGTTAGGCATAGAAAAATCTCTTTATACGTATGCTATGAAAACGGCTGCTATCTTGAAAATAAACAATAAATCTCAAATCCCTAAAACTTTCTTGTTTACTGATCTAATTTGACCAAATTTTGTGAGAGTATACCTGAACCAGTCCCTATCAACATAAAAGAGTATTTTTAAATAAGTGTAAAAGAAAAAAAAAGATAATTTTCCCAATGTATATATTAACCTTTTTAAAATTTTGGTTGCGAAACGACTTGCCAATGGATATAAAAAGTGTTGGGTTTTTTTGTTGCAAATATCTCTCTTTTGCATTGAGGGCAGCCTTGCCATCTAAGACTCCTAAAAGTTTCAAGTCAAAAGGATGAAAACTAAGGATCCGAAGGAGTATGAGAAAAACTGCACACAAAAAAAGATATTTTGAGAAAAAGGACAATTATTGTGAAAATTCACAACATTTTAACCCACCCTCATCTTCTCAAAGGCAATTTACAATGAGAATAAAGATTTTCTCAATTGTCTCCTTGCTATTTAAAAAAAAAGAACTGGTTGACCTTAAAAAATCAGCCAACATCTCAATTTGAATAGCTTGACCCAAAATCGGCCAAACTGAGGGTCGCTCCTCCCGAAAATGAATAATAATGAAGACAGTTGAAACATATCCAGGTTTGCAGACAGATAAGCATGGGGGAAGAACAAGACGAGGGTACTTTGAGTCATTTAATTTAAAACAATGATTTTCAGTTAGGCCTGCCATTATTTTAACAGCAGTAAACCATAAATAAAACCAAACAAAGAATTCACAGGACACACCGTCATCAAAACCCATCTGTCTACAAGCAACCCCGGCATCAATGTCATCCCAGCTGTCGTCGCAGACTGTGCCCCAAGCATTAAGAGGAGTGACGTAGACTTCCAGTCGCCCTGCTGTGCTGTTACCGCCTTGCAGCCGTACTTCAGTTATTTCTGTACAGGAGAAATAAACATATATGCCATATTTTCATTTTTAAAGAAAGCTCTTCTTTTCTACAAACTTGTTAAACATAAAGAGAAGCACATCAATACAAAAAATTTTATTTCAATCTCCACAGGTATACAACTCTTGCTTCATTATTATAAAATATGTCACAACGCGAGTGGAATCAGGCGCACATCAATTTTTGGGCATATCGAGTCATTGGTATAATCTGAAAGCTGATTTATTTGCCTTGCTTTTGAAGAAATAAATATCCATCTATCATAAATAGAACTCAAGATATTTGCAACTTAAAAGGAAGTGAGGTCTCCTGGTTTTAGTGGTAAAATTAGCAAGAAAATGGGCATCAAAGTTTGGTAACTCCAATAGCTAATGAGCCCTTGAAAACAGAAAAAAGACGTATCTTAAGTCTTTAATCAATGTTTTTCAGTAAAATTCACATGGAAATGTGTTTTTATATGAATATAAAAGAGGCTGAGCCAAAAAAAATGCCATAAAGACTTCCAAATCGGCGGAAAAATGCCTGTTTCTCCGATTTCTGTATTTTGACGGGTGCTTAATTTTACCATGCTGCCTCACAGAAGTTAAAGATAAAGAATTATATGCATAAGAAGTCGCACTACACACTACTATCTGATTCTCATCACCGTAATCAGTCGTTACACATGAAGACAAATCTTGAAGGAACAAAAGATGGCTTGTATAATACACAGGGAAATTTCATACCACTGGGAAACAAAAACAAGCCTGAGATGCTGAAGGATCCTGATATTACCAGGCTTTCTTTTACAATATAGGCCTAAATGAAAACTTACATTAAGTTGTGCTCAGTGCATTCAACAGTTAAAATGAAAGTCACAAACTCTTCCTTTAGCTTAAATAAGAAAGCTCTCAAAGCACTTACGGACTTCCTCTTTAAAGCAAGATGCATATGCACTTCCACCACATACAAAGACATGAGCACCATCATCAAATCCTGAATTAATGCAGCTCAGAAGAGAGTCCTCGGTGCCTTCACACAAAAAGAAGCTCATTACGGGCGCTAGGTAGTCAAGATCCGGATTTTCGTCATAGGTTGGGATGCCATCCGTGTAACCCATGGATCTGCATAAGACTTTTGAGTTTCCTTGCTGCCAGTTGATGGCACAGATGCTGCCATAGATGCCATCTACACCAATTTCTACTCGGCCAGAGTTCTGGTCTTTGCCTCCTGTGAGCCTGTATTTCACTCCTGGTAAAAAGACAACCATACTTAAAATCCAGTTTGAACAATATCGACTTCACTAAAAATTTCCAAAGATCCCCCCCCCCCCCCTTAAAAAAAACCCCAAACCAGTTCTAAACATCAAAATGAAAAAAAAGACCCCGCAAGGAGAGTAGCATATTGGGTCTTTGTAATTTTGTTTTAATGAAAGAGGTAAAAAAACAGTCTTATTTTTCCCCCCAGCCTGCAGGAAATAATGACAAAAGAGATATTAGGATGATTTAGCCTTATACTTCACTCTTCATCAAAAGTTGATGAGAACAAAACAAATCCTTAAATTGTTAAGCCCTAGATCTTTTTAAGGCTCACAACTCAGTTGACAAGCATGTAAGCAAAAACAAAAAACAACAACAACCCTAACCCCCCCCCCCCCCCCCAAAAAAAAAAACAACAACCCCACAACAACAACAACAAAAAACCCAACAACGAAACAATAGGGAAAAAAGTAATATTTCACAACTAGTTGTGGGAAAAGGAATAAAAGATGAACTAGGAACATTTTCTTTGAACATGTGTCAAATTGAATGAGTGTTTTGCATGTTGTTTTGTAAAACAAAGAGTATATTAACAATATATCCCCCAAATATAGTTTCCTTTAATTTCATTGTAAAATTAAGGTGAGACTCCATCAGAATAAAACATTAATTCCAGTATGCATGGTTCTTCTGAAAATTTTATATGAATTTATGCAGCATGTTTTTTAGATGTGCTTTTTGGTCTCATCATTCCCATGAGACAAGTAAAGATGTAATATGATTATATTTATGTACACCGCCCTGAACCTAAGCTAAAGCAGACTCAATTCACAAGACCTTATGCTCATTCACATCTGTCCCACTTTGTGTTTAAGGCCATCACTTGCATCATAACTCACCACTGTGAAGCAAGATTATATCCTCTCCTCTTTAAGGGAAGGTCCAATTAGTTAAATGGTAGCCTTCCTTCTTGACTATCACTACAATCATTGTGAAGTTTAAGTCCAGACCTGGGTCTGCACATGCAATATATCTGCCTCTGTCTCAATATGCCTTTACTGAAATCCATCATCCTCACCGTTGTCATGTTCACCATCCCCCACAAAAATGCGATAAAAAAATATATAAAGCATATGCAACAAACACAGCTGATCTCCGGTTTAAGAATTATTGAAAAGGATGTTCAAGTCATAGACAACTGTGTTCACTAATTAGTAGTTACAAAATTTAGTTTCACCTGACTTTACATCATTACGTTTGTGAACTGTGACTGTTGCATGGGAGCTCACTGAGTTCCCACAGAAAGCAAAGAGCACAGAGTCAATTTACCCATCACCTTAATATAAATTATACATATTATAACAATAAGAAAAGCAGAAGCTTCATTTTTTTTTAGTTGCTTTTCTCATTTTTAGAAAATGGACAATTTTTTCTGGCTCTCAAAAGAACTTTTGGGTCTTCTTTTCTTGTTCTCATCTTCCCTATAACAATTAATGGTGTCATAATAGAGGAAAATATTCTGTCTGTAAGAGATTTATGTTCTAAAGACATTTCATCTTCACAAACCTTAAGCAAATGTGTCTCTTTGAATTGTCTGTTTTTGACTTTTATTTAGCCCTATGGCATAGAAATAAAAAGATCCTTTATTTGAGAGCCAAGGTCGGTGTCTCTCTCTCTCTCTCTCTCTCTCTCTCTCTCTCTCTCTCTCTCTCTCTCTCTCTCTCTCTCTCTCTCTCTCTCTCTCTCTCTCTCTCTCTCTCTCTCTCTCTCTCTCTCGTAGTATAAAAATGTAACTTGATACAGTTGAAATAAATGTATATAAGAGAATGCTGCACAAATGGGGCACTTGATTATCATACTGATTGCCTTGCACGCAGTAAAACTGAAAATAATATGATAACGTATACCCATATACAACATTTAGGCTTTTGGCATGTGTGGGTTAATGCCATGTGTATACTAATCAAGTCATGATGAAGGTCTCAGCAAAGTTTTATTCTCCGCCCGGGGTAGTGCCACGGACTGAAGTGTCTTTAGGCCATTCCCAAAGGGGCGACATTTCTTGTTCATGCACATTAGAATTGTAAATGGGCTGATTCATGTCATGCTCATAACTGTGCCTGATCTACAACAGGGAACTGCTGCTTTTTCTTTCGTAATCCTTACTCTTGTCATTTTCCTCTACTTCTTTTGTATGTTTGTCACACTCTTGTGACCTGCTATTTCCGGGGTGCCTGGATAGTCGAAGCAGACTTTGTGTTGTTGAAGCTAGAGAGGTGAGCAGAATAAGTCTGATTCCCTGTAAAAACTTCTCTGTTGACATCCACCCCTTGGCGCTCATATAACCTTATGCAGTTGCGAGCGCCGTAAAACCCTCTACCAAAAAAAAAGAAAAAAAGTTTTATTGGGGCTATACCCCAGAACAGATGATTCAAAAGCATCCCCTATAAATAACAGAATATCTTGAAAAGGTAAAATAGAAATGAAAAGCTCGGTAATAAAAACGGTTAGGAATCAAACATTCACATGAGAGTGCAATTTTGGTCCCTAAACCATAGAGCCTGTCAAATCTAAACAAAAGAAACAAAACTGGATACCTTCAGATTTATAACAGACCACTCCGGCGTCATTAGCATTGTAGTGGCAATGCTCCTTGTCTATGCTGCTGTGCATGCACTGATCCAGGGAAGTCTCAGATCCACTGCACTTCACTCCACTCCACAAAATAGGGAGACGATTGCGGAACAGATGAAGATATTTATGGCCACCTGCAATGTGATAGTTAATGAGGATAGAATAGCTATGAGAATTTCAGTATACAGGTTTGCCTTCAAAATATGAAGTTAGACATAGCCTACAAATGCACACAAACAGTGTGCAAAAGTTCAAAGAAAGGCAGATACATACATTACACTTTGATAAACAAAAAGTTCACTTTAAGAAACCTGAGCAGATAATTTTTAAAAAAGAAAATGATCAAGTATCAGAACTCATGTTTTTTTATTTTTCCTCTCAATTACCTAAAGAATCATAATGCATTCCCAGTTTCAACTTTAACAATGCTAAATTTTACTGACCTCAAAAACAGAGATTAGCAAGGATCATGCATAACAGCAATAACAACTGCTGTACATAAAATCTGACTCTTCAATCTATATGACAATCCATTTTTTATTCTATCAACAGTTTTGATCTATATTCCATAATCTGTATACAGAGTAGAGGTAAGCTGAATGAGTCACCTTTGAAGTTGAGCGACTTGCAAGCCACAGACGCCTCTGCATCAGTAAACTCATGCATACAGATACGACCCCATGCTCCTTTGTCTCTGACCTCCAGAATGCCATGGTTATCACCTGTCCTTATAGAGTCCGATGACAAGGTCAGGTTAAACTCTGAGGAGAACATTATACAATGCATGATGCTCAGCTCTGAACCTCCACGATTAGGGGAGAATTGAGATATATTGTAGCAAATTTAGAGCAGATTATCCATTATTCTCATTCTTATGACTGTTCTAGGCTGTTAAAAAATATCACACAAATGGTCTATTAGTGAAAATAATAATACCGAACACAGGAAATAAAAATCATTGTTTTAAATGAACTGACTCAAGATACCTGCAATGTTTGGTATTGTGATAGACCCGTGTTTTGTGTGGAGTAGAACAAAATATTTGACTGGCTTTGGGTAAAGTTGGAAAATCAGTGACAACCAAGATTCCTATATATGAATATAGATAGGGGTTCAGGAACAAAAAGTCTAGTACCTGCCACATGGGCAGAGTAATCAGACAGGCATTTTGTTTGGAACCATAGACCCCATTATGATTGTAGTAAACAAAGTATATTGCAGAACTAAAAGTCTTAAATTTTAAGTCTGATTTACACTTATACAACTCATCAAAGAATAAAAATCATCTTGATTTATTCTTATAACAACAAAAAATGTGCCACTTCATGGCGGTGTACTGTGCTAAATCTAATCTCTGTTAACAGCGAATCGTCCTCTCGCACTCTGTCTGCATATCAACAAGCATACTCTGAGCACATATATCCACATACCAAAGTCACTGTCTGTGAGAGTTTCTTTGAAACAAGCGACTGACATGTATGTCTCTGAAGCACACTGGGAAGCGGTATTATGACTGCACTCCGATAAAGTGGATTCTTCTCCTGAATTACAAAAGACAAAAACAGTAACATTTAGACTTCAAATAAAAAATAAGTGATAAAAATGCCATAAAAAAGAAAAAATTAAAATATCTCCGACCTAATTATGAATGTCTTATGCACCCTAAAACACAATTTACATAATTTAGGGAGTTTGGTGCTTCTACACTGTATGTAATGATAAATCCAGCGTGTAAAGGAAAAACATCTGCAGAACCACGGAGATATTAAAATACTCTCCCCGTAAGAAAATCAAGCCCATATGTTTGGTAACAATTTAAAGTAAAAGGCCAATCCATTATATTATAATATGCTGGTCATCTCCTGAGATTGAAAGTCTCTGGAGAATTTGAGGAACATAAGATTGTCAGTATTGGCCTTAATCCATTGCACCCGAGCTACGAGTAGGCTATATTCATAGCTGCATAGCTGCCGCGCGCTTCCGTCCACCAAGTTACGAGAATAGTCGTATCAAAATACCAGTCCATAAAATCGAGTCCTAACCACTTATCCAGGTTTCTATTGAAAATAATAGGACGCTAGTAGCTTTTAAAAACTTTTGCAAGCCTGTTTTGATCCAGTTTTTCGTCAAGTAGCCTACAAGTTAGTTTTGTTGCTTTGTAACCACAAATCATGACGAGAAGGAGAAAAAAACTGCCACAAAAAAACAACAGTGCCACGGCTATTTTTGTGTTTGTTGAAATACAAGAACTGTTTTTAGTTTGTTTTAGGCATAAACGGCAAAGATAGTGAAAGTAGACCTAAATCTAGAAAAACAAGGAGATTGGATTGATTTTATAAGTGCCTTGAAAACTTCGAAGAGAAGCTAGATCTAGACCATAGATTTACTATAAGTTGCTATGGCTAAATCGAGGGTTGATGAGTCGCAGTCGGATGATATTGTTTTCTCTGCTCTTTCCTTGATCTTTCTCTCTAATGAAATTCAATCAAAAGAACATTTTATGTAAAATCTAAGGGAAATTTCATATTGATACCCTAAAAAGTTTGGGTACAATGCGTGTCTAAGTTTAGTGTGTCGAGTTCAGACCAATTTTCCCCCCGCCTCACTGCAAGCCAGTATGGACTCAAATGTACTGATGCAGCAAGGCGGGGTGAATTGGGTTAAACTCTGAGCTCTTAAAACACAACATAACGAGCTTGTTTAAAAAATATGAAAATTTGGCGTGGTTGTGCGTGTGTGTGTGTGTGTGTGTGTGGGTGAGTGAGCCATCGAGAGTGTTTGTGCCCATGTATGCTTGTGTGTGCATGTGTCTGCTGATGTATGAGGGTAAGCGTACAGAATTATGTATGATTGTGCATGTGAGTATGTATGTCTTGTGTATGTGAATGATGTTTGTTTACAAGGGTGATCTATTGTTTGAGTGAAAATCATTCAGATCAGTTAATAGACTGAAAACCATATATAGCTGTTACATAACCATGAGTCACCATAAACTGTAACCCCACATTTCCAGTCACCATAGGTAACATAATGACCTAGGCACTTAATATCGCTTATCAGTGCAGTTTAAAAAAAATACCCAGCCTCCTTTTCTCCTCTCAAAAATGAAAATAAAAAATTGTGAAGAAGGATCTGATTGTCTTTTTGGGGGGGATAAAAAACGTTCCCCTCAAACTGAAACTATTTCTCAATGTTAATTATATTATTTATCAGATATTTACCACATCTTTCTGTCTTTCTGAATAGTATTGTTAAAATCACGTTGTTTCATTGATCACACTTCAAGGGAACAATCTCCAATATGTACAATTATGGAGTGGACCATTTTGATTCTAGGTAAGTCCATGTTGACACTAGAGTCAAGCCAACAAAGACAATGAAAAGGAGAGAGAAAACAGAAGCTTTTTTTTCCCCCTTAGTGTAGGGAATTGAGTTACAAATGGAAAACTCACCAGCACAAGACACACACAGAATTATCTTCAGTCAGAAAGCCATTTCTATTACTACCAAAGATGGATCGGTTAAACTTCTTTACTCTTTCAAATAAATGGGTTTCAGGAGCATGATTACCTAATGAGGCTAACATCTGTTTCATGGAAAATGAAACTCATGTCACAGAGACTTAATATTTCAAATCCTCAGCATGACCAGAAATCCACAAGATTAAACTTCTGTCTTCGGTGATTTCTAAAAGATGAAAGTCAATCACTTAATGAAGACTTTCACCCAGAGCATGTAAGGATGTGAGTAGTGAGTAAATGTGTGTTTGTGTGGGTGAACACAATATTATATATATCTTATATCTTTCTCTGTTTGTGCATGTTAGATGCTGAAGTACATAATCCCCCCCCCCCCTTACAACCCAACCCTATCAAAAGTGTACAAATGAAAACAAAGCAGCCTCAACCAGATGTGAGACAGAAATTCACCTGAACAGGAGAAGGACACAGGGGCAAGAGGTTCTTCCATTTCGCCAAACACTCCCTTTTGGATGGGCACACCATCAACATAGTCCTGAAGAAGACTTTTGCATGCTACCATAGCTTCTTTTCTGGAAAAGCTTTCATCTGAACAAATATGCTTCCATTTGTCATCCATATTGTACAACAGCCCACCAGAGCTTTGTTCCAAAGGCTGATCCAGTTTCACTGTAATGTACAAAATGTTATGGAAGTAAATATATATTTCTTTGCACCTTGAAAATTCCACTGAAAACATATTGCACCCCTTTTCTAACATGGACAGTTTTTGGACAACGAAACAGACAAAAAATCTTGTAGGTTTCTATGTTTGTGTGCCTGGTGAAAGGTACCAAATGACGCATTTTGAAGTATCCCGGTTTTTTGCATTAGCATGTAAACGGATCATATCTGAACAATATCCTTTTTGAATTTTAAAGAAATCTTCAGTAGTTTTTTAGATCTGGGTGATTTTGTAAGGCAGGGTACGGAAACAAAGTTGCGAGAAAAACGGCTTCAAATAGACAGATCTGCGCTTCGAGACGACCTGACAACACATTCGCTACTCACAAACCAACTTTAAAAAGCTGCTAAGATAAAAGAACAGCTTCAAAATGTTCATATTATGTCTTCAAAACAAATTCGCCACTATACAATTTGCTCTCCAAAAAAACGAAAGGGTGTGGATGCCCAAAGCTTTGCTTTGTTTACACGTTCTTATATTCATGTGCACTACTCGCCTTTAGAGAGGGGAGAGAATGACCTAAATTTTGGTATGCAATGTGATTGGGTTGACTTTATGAATGGACAAGAGAAACCATCCTCAGCGTTTACTCAGAAAACCAATTTTCTCACACATTATTTTGGATTATGCAATGTACCTTGTGTTATAAAACCCGTTTTAAAAATGTATTCTAAAATAAAATAAACTCAAGTCCTAGTAAATATTGATAAAGTAATGGTAAAGTATCCATTTTTAAAGGAATTTAGTTTTTGTCAAAAATTCTATTTTTGACCTTTGAAGCCTGATATCTCGGTTTGAATAAATGCGTCATTTGGTACCTTTCACCAGGCGCACTCACATATATGTGTTTTCAGTTATTTTTCATTGGCATTGTTTTGAATTTCAAGGTACAGAAAAACTGATAACACAAGCTTCAGAGAACCAAAGAATTTCTTTGTACCATACAGATTTCATGTAACATGAACTCTCAATGCATAGCACATAAAAAGAAAACAAAAACCATGATTTAAAACACTTTCATGATAACAGGAATTTTGTGTTGAACAGCTTTGTATTTATTAACAAAACCTATTGTAATAAAAAATTCAAGCTGAAGAGACGATAAGGATAACATAAAATGTGAAGATCATCAGTCTTTTCCCAATTATCACTTCTGCTACCTTTGACAAAGGTTGGTCCAATTAGCCACAACCTACGTCATTACAAGTGACAGATAATCGACAGATATAGTACAAATACTATCGTCTGTATATAGTGACAAAACAGGGTCTTCTATGAATCCCCCAACCTAAAAAAAAACCCATGGATGTCTATGCAGATAGTTTGAGGGGTGGGGGGTTATTTACCCAAAACTTTGAAAAATGAAAATCCTTCCTAAAAAGTCACCACAAGTCATGCTCTGAATAAATATATTACCAAAAATGAAATTCTATTTCCCAAAATGCCAAAGATTGTATAACTAAAATGACACCTTGCAAATCCAGGTTTTCAATTATCCTCCCCTCCCCCCCTCCTTTTCCCCAAACTTTGAGGAGTGGCTTTGCCTGTTTGAGGACAAAAAAACAAACTTTCTTACCGTCATTGAAGCAAAAGACAGACGCATCGTTGGAGTGAAGGCTGCAAGGGTTTATGAACCAGAAGGAATTCCCGAAAACATTAGGGTTTTCATAGAAGCCATCATGAGCACACTGATGTAAATAGGCTTCCTCTCCAGTGCACTGTATAGAGTGTAGCCAGATAGGTCCTTCCCCTCCTCCATAAGGAGCATTATTCTGCGCTGCACCATCCCGGAATTTCTTCCCTCTGCAAACGACTCGAGCAGCTTTGTCATTCCACATTTTATCACACACTGTGCCCCACTTTCCATCAACTGACATTTCCACACGACCAAAATTGCTTTGATCAAAAGTGTCATTAAACACTAGGCGGTATTTGATTCCTGGGGATATTAATTTAGTGAAATTTTAAAGATAGACAAATACCACAACTATGTTAATTCACACTTTGCAACTCAAGCTAAGCCAAGTCAAATACAAAAGCCATTAAAAAATCATTTTTTGACGAATTTGATTGTAAATCAATAAATACAGTGGAGTCTACTTATAACGAGTGCTGGAATAACGAGAAGTCTGTTATAAAGACACTATTCTAAAACCCCGTTTTTTTCTCTTCTTTATCTTTGTAAATATAAAATACTGCTATTGCGCAATCAGACAAACATGTGGATCGGTTATAGCGGAATATTGCTGCTGCTGTGCACAGTGCATAGGCCAATTATATGTTCTGTAAAACCTCGCCAGTTGAGAAACTTGTTGGTAATCTGGCGAAACAAAGATTGGGAGAGCCCATGTGTGTCAACAATGAAGGCCGGAGCGCTTGAGTAGGGAGGGTGTGGTATGCGCAGACAAACAGAACGCATCGAGGGATAGGCCAGCGTAGGCCTAGTCTAGGTTATCTAGGCCTACCATGCCTCTCATTTCACAGATGAGGAGATGGAGAGGTCACAGCAATATGATGGATGGAGCCAATGTGCTACGTGCGCAAGCAGACGGAATGCACCACAGGGTGTGGTGGGGTGGGGGAAAACACAGCGGGTGAGTTAGCCCAGAGCCATTTCTTTCTGATCGCCAACAAGCTGTCAGTCAACATCAATAGCACTAGAGAAAGAAACCTGATTCTATTTTTTATCAAGTAAGACCTAGAGACCATGTTGAAACAAGATCCTCATCAGGGGAGATAACAAAAAGAAATAAACCGAACACCAAACTCATAGATTAGGCCTACTTTACTGTTTTCCTTGAATTTATTACTATATCCCTTATAGCGAGAATCCTGCTATAACGGACATTTTGCACCGGTCCCCTCCTTCTCGTTATAACAGGATTCCACTGTATAAATGATTCACCCAGATAGTGCACTGCAGGCAGGAAAAGTCTTCATAGGTGTAAAGTCAGATGCTCATCAAAATAATGAATGGAAGATACCAATATTCTCCCAACCGTTGGGTTATTTTGTTGAGGGGGGGTTCAGATTAACACTTTTTCTTTCAATATAAAAACACATTCTCCATAGGTATTACCAAAAAATGTAGACCAAAAGCACTAAAAATGTAAATTTGCAGTTTCCAAAGACACTCAAGCTTAGGAAGTCACCAAACTTTGGTTGCCATTTTTCTTAAAATTAAAATTTTTACCTCTGATACCAGGCAACCGCGTCTCCTTTGCTCGGAAATATTTCGACTTCTATTCAAGATACATGGGTACTTTTTTCCATCAAAAACAGGACAAGTGATCTTAGATTTAAGATGATACCAAAAACTTTGTAGCCCAAAAATTGAACAACGCCTTGATAGAATGGTATTTTTTTCTTCAAAAACAAAACAAATGATCAAGCTTTAAGATGATACCAATATAACTGATGAGCACCTAATTCCACTGTACTGTGACACATATTTATTTTCAACTTATTAATGCGTATCATATTTTTTCCTTCAAAGCAGTCGGCTACATGCTTGGATCAAAAGAAGAAGATTGTGAATTCTTTGCATTTGGTATTCATGTTTTTCTCAACCTTCCAGAAATATATTTTCTTTCAAATATATCCATCTCATGGAACCAAATGAAGACAATAAAATACACAATTTTGAACCTAGGCTATAGGGAATTTAACTACAAAACATATTATCAAGATAGCCATTTGTTGTATGAAAAGGAGAGCTGTTTCCTTCGCATAAAAAAAAAAAAAATCACATCCCCTGAAAAAATGCAGTTTGTAAATTATTTAAATATATTGATTAACAAAACTCTATGATTGTAAAAAAGTCAAGATCATAGTTTTAAAGGACCAGCTTGGCTAAGTTCATCATTTGTTTTTGTACAAATGTCATGTCCTACTGAATGCAAAAAAAGATATTTCAGGGGAAGGTTGTCCACTTACGAGTTTTAGCATCAACATTCATTAAACCAAACCTTCAATTGAAAGATCAATGGAAAAGTGAGATGGACATAAATGCCATCCAGCCAGCAGGTAAGTTCTATCTTCTGTCTGAGAGCCATTAGGCTATTTATATCTCCAGCCCATTCATGGTCAACAATACCATCTCTCCCTGTAGCATACCTTCTTCCTTGTAGCAATACACAGCAGCAGTATGGGAATCTGAGCAGTTGCCTAGGTTTGATCTGTCATTGAAGGAACACTCTGTCAAATCTCTCTCTGTACCATTGCAAATGACATTGCTCATCAGTAAAGGACCTATTGATTTCGAGGAGATATACTCCTGTGTGACAGAAAGCAATATTGTTGATTACATTAATGATTATATATTATGCATCACTGTATATTTCAACCAGAGATCACGATAATAAATTCAACATAAGTTCTCTAACTAATGAAAAAAACATGTAAAGTTTACTTGATTATGCATTCAATTGAAACGATGATCTCTGAACAAATTGATTATTATTACCCACCTCTGGCTATTTATGCCATTCAAAAAATACTAACTTACTTTGAGTAGACCTAATAAATATGAAGGCTATCATTATAGCTTTCTGACTACATATTTTGTCCACAAGCCCCTCAAACAACCAGTGATAAATTGTACGCCTACCTGTGTATAACCACTTTTGGTTTTATTTTCTAAAACATACAATTTGAGAATACAAAAAATTGACATTTTCCCTGATCATTACTAGCATTTAACTCTGAAAAATCTTCAAAATAAATGGTAATGTCTTGAGTAGTAAACACGGTTTCCAAATGCGTTTTGTCCCAGGAAGGCCGGTTTGGGGATAAAGTCTCCCTCACCATTGTACTGGTGGCCAGGAATATGAGTAATTTAGTGTGCCACCCGTGTACTGGTGGCGAGGGCTCAAAGGGTTAATTAAGTCTCAGTACTTAAATGTCTCCAGTTTCGAAAGAATATAAAACACCCGCTTTAAATAATAAAAATACTTACAAAGATTAGTATTAAGACCAGTCCAAAAAGTATAGGTTCAGAGCTTTTAATAATGCCTACAACAATATAGTCATGCATTGCAGTCATATTCTGTACCAACAGTCTCTCCATCATGCCTCACTATTGGAAAGTTTTACTTCTCTGTTTTTCCTTTCTATATTTATTTCTCTCTGTCCTTTATGTTTTTGCCCAGCACTACACGACCATAACGGTGTTGATTAACTCTCTTAACTAAAAGAAATTACAATCTTCTAAGGGAAATATACTGATCATACTTACATCAAAGTATGACCGATGATAAGCAGAGCCTCCTTTGAATGACCGACTTTTGCAAAATACGTCAGCCTCCTTGTCTGTCCAGCCTGCACTACAAATTCGACCTTTGATTCCAAGGTGAGATACTTCAAGCGCCCCTTTCATCTCCTCACCTGGACTCATTGTAACTTGGTATTCTGTTATAAAGACAAGTTAATTATTTAGCATTCAATTTTCAGCATCACAAAGTGATTCCCTTTTCTATAGACAAGATTAGTCTTTACAGGACATAGTTTTATTTTTCCTCCCTCACTTGTATAACAAACACATGTAATATGAAAAACCTTTAAAAATCAAAGCAAGAGAATAATATAAAGTATATTATAAGTCAATATAAATTCACAAAAATTAATCATACTAATAACACCCCCCCCCCCCCCACCCAACAACAACCCAACCCTTTCTTGAATTTAAAAACCCCACAGGAAACAGTAAAGAGCCCCCCCCCCCCCCATCTTATCCTTATACATCAAAAAGGGTAAAAAAATAGCTAAAATGAGAGAGTCAAAAGGGTTCGCCTTATTATTCTGCTCTAACAGGTAATAAGCTTCTTTTCATGACAGTAACTTGCAAGTCATAATTTACAGACATCACTACACACCAGGAAAAATTCATACTAATAATATCTGCAAGTTTATTAGCAACAATAATACAGCCATTCTTAAAGATTTTAAAAAATGAACAAACTAAAGGAAAAACTTTAGTGAGGGCAAAAATAACAATTATAATTAACCTAGCTCATACACATTTATAGGAAGGGATCGAAACTTCTTAATTTAAAGATCATGATAAGCTTCACAAGACCAAAAGCCAAAACAGTTGAATAGCTTAGTTTCCTCCTCCTGTGTAACCAAGTACGATAATAATTTTTTTTTAGAAAGCAATATAAGCAGAAAAATTTACAGAGCAATTTTTTTTACCATTTTCGTCAAAGTTGTCATCTTTTCCCAAGCACACCACGGAAGCGTAGTAACCACTAATACATTCACTTTCCTGCCTGCATTGAGTAATAAAAGTCTCATCTCCCACACACTCAAAAGTTATATTTGGGAGTATCTTGCGCCCTGAAACTGTCTCTCCTGAATAAGCAGAGCAGCACAGAGAGCGGCCATCGTAAAAGCCCATTTCCTGGCAGACGAGGCGGGCAGACAGGTCAGTGAAGCCATCACTGCACACTCGGTACCACTTGTTTGAATAATAATAGTTGACTGGACCGTGGTTGGTTTCCATCCCACTTGCTCTTTCAAGTTTCACTAAAAGATAAATAAGAGAAAACAATTTAGTATAAACAGTCACACCTCTCCAATTAGACCACGCATTGTCTCGGAGAAAGGTGGTTATTTTATACAGGTGGTCCTCTTAGACAGTATCATTATCATACAGGAAAAACACAAGGGGGGGGGGGGTAGGAGGTGGTTGTTTGTACAAATGATTGTCTTAGACAGGTGGTCACTAGAGCAAGTTAGAATGTACTTCAATACTATAACCTAGTGGACAAAAATCTCAGAGAGACATTACATTCACATGAAGGATTCTGTAGCTAGGAAACAAATCTTCACAGATAGTAGCTTATTGATCAGATATATAAAAAATACACCACTGTTAATGGATTATATAATTTATTGAGAACTCTTGTTTAGCTTGGTGCAATTTCTGTTATTTAGTTACAGTCCAAAACATAATTTGTCAAGGCAGAAAGTGCATTGATAGAAATAAACTTATAGAATTTCATTGTAGACATTTTACAAAGTACAGAAGACTATGTTAAAAGAATTCTCAGAGACAATGATCTTCGTAAAACACAGTTGGAGAGGATCTCTTCTTTTTTGCGTTCCCCTTCTTGATCTCGGGGGTAATTGACTGAAGGTTCTTCAACCTGCAATGCAACTGATCTTTATTTATATATGCCCACTTTTCCAACTTTGTAGGGCTCTTTGCCTTTAGGCAACCACATTCCAATTTTGAAAGTACTCTATACTTTTTATATTGACCAGAGTATTTTCAGTTGTGATAGGAATTAATTTTGAATTTTGCATGGGTGGCGGCTGAAGCCTACTCATATCTATTTTAGAACCACCATGAGATCTTTAATGTAAGCAAAGAAATAAAAACTATTATAAATACACTATTTAAAGCACCATTACGAACATCATCAAATGCAACACCAGGGAACAGTGGCTGAATGGATGGGCAATGGGCAAAACTGGAAGAACTGTATTTGCACACATGACAGCCCCCAACTCTAAAGATGCAATAAATTCCCTGAGTAGAAGAGAACAAGTCACGATATTTCGCCTGCGAACACAACACATACAACTAAATTCCTACCTTAATAGGATCCGCAAGGATACCCCACCCGACTGCCCGTTGTGCGACTGCCAGGATGAAACAGTACCACACCACCTCTTTAACTGCCCAGCACTTTGTGACCTGTGTAGCACCTACCTACCTGCCTCCCCAGACATCGGAAACACTCTATACAGCGACAAAGCACAGCTGATTAAAACCTGTTAATTCTTTGCCATATCGACAGACCGAAGGGCTAGAACCCAAATGGCCATTGGATCGGAAAAGTAAAGTAAAGTAAAGCACCACACACACCAGATAGCTACCACGAGCTGTCCCGCCAAGAACAAGTGATTATCTTCTGACTAAGAACACAACACACAAGACTGAGACAACATATGTACAGATGTTTTAAACTAGTACAATCACCAAAATGCCAGTGTGGAGAGGTGGACCAAACAGTGGAACACATCCCTCAGCACTGCAAGACAAGACACACAGGGCCCTGAGACAGGAAACGTGGCCAACCCCACTGACACTACTATACAGGCCGACAGATGAACTGAGCAGGACGGCCCATTATAACACAGATACCGGACTTCAAGTGTGATGAGATCGAAAAGAAGAAGAAGTCATGTATGCAATAAGTACACAAGACCTCGGTAATTTTTCGTCATTATCAGAGAAGGCTAGGTGTTCAATTTTACCTATTCTAAGAACAGAGGTGAGTCTTAAAGTAAGAAGACACCAGGGGTAGCAGTAGAAAGAATCAGGAGTGAGAAAGAGGAACAGAAAAGGGGAACACCTTGCCTCAGGATCTCAGAGAAACAACAAATTTTGATAGGTTTAAGTGATTGCTCAAGACTCATTTGTTTAATTGTTAATTACAGTGTGTTGGTAAGTTCTGATTTTTTAAATATACATGGGTGTCTTGTTTTATAATATGTCCTTTCGGGTAGTATAGTTAATAGGCTATGGGCTACTGGGAGTGAACCTCCCCCCCCCCTGGGGATTTTTCACCACCATGATTTTCTGGCACCAAAATGTTGGCAATCTACAGAGTTACGGCCCTTGATTGTCCAGAAATTACGAAAATACTTGATTTTTATTTTGGGGTTCTCTGTGAAGCCGAAAATGTGTACTTTCATATGATGTAAAACTCAAATATTATAAGATGATGTAAGTGTTGTAAAAAAAATACTTTTGCTAATTAATTACAAGATGCAAAGAGGAAAAAAGAAAATTCAAAGGCTGATTTCTCAAAATCTATAGAAATGATTAATTCTATTGCTTCAGATCTTTTATAACCCGGTACAATAGTTTTCTTATAGGTACACACTTTGACTCGAAGTTTGAGGCACAAAATGAGAAGGATTTTGCGCAAAATAACTATGAGTTAAGGAGTTATGACCCTTGCTATTGCTATATTGAAAAAATACAAAACTGCCGCGCGTCATTTTAAAAACGTCAAAAAGGCGGCCTGAGTACTTTTGTCTCAGATATAGTCTAGATCAATCATATGGGCATGATCAAGGTGTCTTGAAAAACATTTTGTTAGTTAAAGCTAATTTAAAAGAAGACTGAGGTGAAAAATTTGAAGTCTGGTTTTTCTAGCAATGTACAATTTTCTTTATACGAGTATGCTTCAGAGAATGAATGGGATGTTCAAAATTAAGCAAGGTAGAACTGAAATCAGTTCCCTTGACATCAAAGAAAGAGAGGTCAAAATCTCAAAAGAAAGAACAGCTTGAAGAAAGGACATGTGGAGTGCATAACTGTAACTTCAAAGTCCATGATGAAACAAAACCTCTCACTGAGAGACGCTGGGACACCATTCAAAAATCAAAAAGACAACGGTGTCTTGCAGAAACTGACAGTGATAGACTATCCTCAATTTGTGAAAGAATACCGACAGAATTTGACTCTGCTCAACATGGGTTCCATGATTACTGCTACAATACATTCATCAATTTGAGGAGTCTTAAGAAAAAGGCATTCACCAGGAGAGTCTGACAAATCAGCACAAGAAGGGTCTTGTTCCACTAGGAAAAAAGTAAAGCAATCGTTTTCAACACGCCTCTTGCTCATGTAATGCCTTTTCTGTGAAAAGACAACTGAATGGACACATGACAGCATGGGAACCAAGAAAGTTCATAAACTTGTCAAATGTGTTACCAGAACATCTGAAGCCTCTGTAAAAGAAGCTGTAAACAGAAAAACTGACTCAAAACTTCGGGGCCAAATTGAAAATGCTGTTCTCATTGCCCAAGAGGCAGGGTATCATGAGCCATCTAGAAAAGCTTACACACGTAAGGGGGATCGACATTCACTAGCTTCTACATCTAAATACTGTTCTGGAGAAGAAAACGCAGCAGCTGAAGAAAAAAAAGAAATCTCCAGCTGCAGAGGAAGAAGCCTACTCCAAGGCATTTCAGCACGTCCGTCAGTTTGTGGAAGAACATGTCACTGCAATGGTCCTTGTTGTTAGGATTAGTCTTTTGAAAGAGATGTATAGCACTTTCATGCAAACAAATTATCCAGAGTTTTACAAGTACTACAAGACATATACGTTGAGGAGAAACTTGTGAAGCACGTCAAGTCCAGGGTCAACTTCTGGCAGAGATATTCTGGGACAAGTGAACTCGAGTACTCTGACGAAATTTCAACTGGGCTGGCTGTCGGAGTTGCCTTTGAAAATGTGACCTCTGAAGAGAGACTTGTTATGGAAGTGGCAAAGGTGATACGACGACCTGTTCTTGATGGATGCAATGAAAGTCAAAAGTTACCTTGGCTTTCAGCAGACACAGATCTGCGCACAGAAACTTTGCAGATACCACAAGTATTAACAATTATATTTCTTTCCTTTCTTTACTCCAAGAATGGAAAACAACAGGCAACAAGATGCCACAGGAGAGTTGTCTCTACAGGTCAGGACATATGCTACAGTTTGACGAAAGGGGGAATGGAAAAAGCCTAAACATATTATGATTGGTATATATGTGTCCGTCATCCAACAGGAAACACTCAGCTGATCAATATCTTAAACCAGCATGGACATTCTGTATCCCACTCATTTCTCTTAGAAGTGGAAACTGCCATGTGTGACAGTATACAGGTTTCTTCAGGTAGTTTGCCCCAATCCATCATGCCTGACAACAACCTCATCACTCACTTCTGTTGGGACAATTTTGACTTGAATGAGGAAACTTTATCAGGAACTGGAACCACACATTCAACTCATGGACTAGTCATACGAGAAATCAAAGTGCAGCCATACATTCCCCAGCCGACACCAGAGGTTGACAGAACAAAGAAAGGATCAATCCATATTCCCAAAAAAACAGCTTGACCCATGTTTTATCAATTCTGAAGTGGAACCCACCTTGATAACAGAGTATCAAAGATTTCAAAGTGTTCCATATGAATAATGAAAACAGAAGGCAACTGACACAGTTCTTACTTTATGTATGGCAACAAGATTGTTATGCAATGATGTTGCTGAACAGAGAAATATACTTTGCAAGTGACCAACAGTGCTTTGTCCTCAGTAGCAGTGATGGAAAGACTACAGACTCAAGACCTGTTCCAGAGTTACCCTCTAGCCATGAGGAAGCAGACACACTACTGATCGTGCATGCCATCTTCTCTGATCAGAACATTGCTACTCCAGACACAGACATCATTATTGGGTCCCCAGACACTGATGTCTTTCTACCGATGATTGCATTGTGTTCAACATTTCACACACAGTTTGAATTTTGACACAGGGGTTGGGAAAAAAAGAAGATGTCTACACATTCAGACGCTCTGTGACAAAATGGAAACACATTTACAGGATTCTATTCTTGGACTCCATGCATTCTTTGGATGTAAGGAGTCTAGCGATTTTGTCCAGAGAGGAAAGGTGAAGCCGCTCACCATTCTCCACAAGCACCCAGAGTTTGCTGTTTCATTCAAGGAGCTAGGAACATCTGAAACTGTTTCTTCACAACTGTTTTCCAATCTGGAAAAGTTTGTTTGTCACCTGTGTGGAAAACCAGCTTACTTTAGCGCTAACAAGTTTCGTCATGACCTTGTAAGGCTAAAGTACATGGCAAAAGGTCAAAGCTTACTGTCATGCTTTGATGGATTTGACACCATGCGAGAGAAGCCTTGAAGCTGACATCCTAGGCGTAAATTATTAATAGTATTAAGCTTTAATATGGAAGCAAGCACATCTGGCTCATCCATTAATACAAATGTACATGATCCGCTAGATCTTGGTTGGAAGAGAGATAATGGTGGAGTGCTCTCAGTGGAGTGGTGCAAAGACTTGGTCCCTCAACAATTGGTTGATATTTTGTCAGGATCAGATACAGAACAAGAGGAAGACAAAGATGAAAACCATCTCCTCTATCATTTGTGATGAAGAAGATGAGCTGAAGTGACAGCAGTGAAGATGAACTGATGACATAGAAAGCATTTAAATAAGACTTTACATACAACATCAACTGACTTACAGTATAACATTTGGATAACTAGCACCCAAGCAACTCACTTCTGTTACATATTATGCTCTATGCAAGTCAATTTTTAGATGCTATAATCTTTTTCTCAATTATATAAATTTCTTTGTACGAGACAACTCAATATAATACATCATGTACACAAATAGCCAATATTCATCTGCATTGCTAAGGCCTGTCTGTAACTCTGCATTGTACTGATTTTCTGTTGAACTAAATGTTTTGCATGTGTAGCTTTTCCTTTGTTGTGGTAAACCCAGCAGGGAGTATATTGCGCTTACTTTGTGCGGCGGTTTTCAATTTTTAGAGAAAAAGGACTTAAAACATTATTTTTTTCTCTATAAGCTATGTAAATAACTACCACAAAATGTTCAGTATAACTGTTTTTCTTCAACCCACAATACCAACTTTAGTCTCAATTAAAAGAAAATCAGAATACCAACTAAAACAGTGAATTAAAAAAAAAAAGTTAATTTGTTCAATTTTCGACAATTCAGGGGCAATAACTCTGCAGATTGCCTATATTTTGGTGCAAACTTTTTTGTGTGCATAGTCCTGAGTGTGCTCTTTCAGAAAATCATAGTGAGCAAAAATCCCCAGGGGGGGGGGGGGGGTTCCAGTAGCCCATAGTCTATAATGTATGGTTGTGAAAGTTCTTTTTTATGTGGTTGAACTGGTTTTTCTTGTTTCTGTGAAATATTTTTTCTTGTGTGAATGATTATATGATTGGTGTAAAGCGCTCAGAGCTTACACTAGTATGGGATAGAGCACTATATAAATGCAATCTATATTATTATAGACTTTTTGACTGAGAGGTGAACACCGTACCTCTAGAGCACGAGGGCCTGGGAGAGGATCTTAAAAATGGAGGCCAAAGAGGAAATTATTCTCAGTGACAGTTCAAAGTGAAAACAAACTCTTTAACTCTTTCTTTTTTAACCTGGCTAGAAATAGGTGAAAATAAAAGCGTGCACTCGTGTTCAACTTGGCCCAAACTGGCCGACAGAAAATATGTTGTCCCACTGTTCAACTTGCCATCTCATTTCTCCGATGAAATTTCCTCAGTGGTGAGATTGGCTAAGATTGACATTGATAATAGTAATTGACTTTAAACTGTAGCCTTGTTATCATTTCTGGAGAGAAAAATGTGTCAGAGCCAGCGCCAGCAGTCAGAATTTACTTTTTCTTTCCTTAAAGCATAAAGAAAGTCAGCTCTGGGAGGTTGCTATGTGCAAAAGAAGTCAAACAAATGGGCAGCCGCTATTTATGAAGAATTTGAGCAGGAAAAGATTACATGTCACCCGCTTGCCATATGTAGGCTCATCATTATATTTTCAAGTATGACAACACTCTATTTCAAAAGGAATATATCTATCTTCTAAATTAGGAAAATGCAACTTGCATAAAAATGATGCACAATAAATGTAACAATGATGGTATTTCCATTTTGTTTTTCATTCCTTATATCAAGTAGGCACAAGGCTCAAACACTGATGGACCTCCGAGGACACAACGAATAACAACAATAATGACATCATATCCCAGCACAGGTAGGCCTACCTGATGAGTAGCAGAAAACAGCAGCATCATCAGAATGTGCCTCACAGGACTGCCTCCTGTTTTCACTCCAGCCTTGATGGGGACATTCATTGATAGTTGACTCTGTTCCTGAACAGCGAGCTCCCAATTCCCAAATAGGACCTTTAACATGAAATGAAGAGTTCTATAGCATTGTACCACAGCTAAATAAGGAGAACACAATGTCGTATAAGCTGTATTTAAACACTGAAGAGACATGTCTGTCAAAATCTGGTAACTTGTTTTGATTAGCCCATCATATTGAAAATTAACTTCAAATTTTTGGCTTCGTTAATAAAAAAAATTTTATGTGTGGAAAAAAAAATGAATACCATACCCAGCATCTTTAAGACATAAAAGTCAATTCCTGCTGATGGAACACAAAGAAAATAAGGAAAAATTCAGACATCTTAGAACTAACCGGATGGTGGTAGTGCATGTGCTTCAAAGCAGAGTACAACATGATTTCTTGTAATGGTAGTTTTATTATTTATACTTCATGATATAATATCTTGCCTGTAAGAGTACCAAGATCAGTCTCTTGGCTTTACTTACCTAAGGAAAAGGAGTAGGGTAAAAATATGAAGACTTTCCTACTGCTTTGTGCCGAGATGAAGACAAAATTTTAGCTCGTAATCCAGCATCTTATCACAAATTAGGAACAAAGAAAAGACTGTTTTCCCAATGCCACTACATATTTTGTTTTGATCTGTATTTCATCAAACTAAATAGTAACCAGAAGAAGAAGGTAACATTCAAACATAATGAATAAGTTTATAGCAAATCTTCTAAAACCAAAGTGACAATAGTAACTCAAAGCCAATGACCACAGAGGAAGATGATGAAATAGATTACTTCATGACAGCAAAAGTATCATTGCTAATTATGGGTTATGGTAATCCACACAAACAGCATTGACAGCCTCTGCATTTGCTTTTTTGTGAGTCAAGAAGAAAAGATATCTATTTTTGTAAAATTTAACTAAAAAATATAACAGAAATTATAAGTTTTTGTTTCTAAGACCAGTTAGAGATTATATTATGTACACTTCATGACCATCTTTATTGCACATGCACTTAGAAAGATCTGAACAACACAATAATATTTATAAACAATGTTTATTTTCCTTACCCAACCTGCTTTTTTTGTTTGCTACTCGCTTGTAACATTTCTAATCTTTAGCAGTTATATATGATGTTATTGTGTTCCAAGTTCCTTAAAACGCTTACTAAAACAAAAACAAAGATTGTTTTAGACTGCAGATAAAACATCAAGTAAAGGTAATTTTAACTTACCAGTACCAACATTATCCAAGCTTGTATCACTGATTTCATCTCCCGTGGCATATCCTAGCATGCGGCACATGACTGCAGCATCCTTGCTATCCCAGTTGAAATCACACACAGTACCCCACTGGTTATTTATATAGACTTCCACACGGCCACTTTGAACATTATCTGAACCAGCCAGGCGGTAAGTGACAACTGAAAATATATTTTTTTTAAACACATACAAAATACATCTCAATGGGATTGGTGGTCCACTGTTGAGGTGAGGCATGAGTATGAGAATGGTAAGACATAGATCTAGTCTGGAGGAAATGATATATACAGGTCCTATATGCGCACTGATAACAAGAAAAAGAGGTTATAAACAATTCAGATTATTGACTCTGTAACAAATTCCCGAAACATCTAGGATGAAACTTATAATTTTTAGACATACACTTACAATAATAACATGTAGTGTGAGTTACAAAGATGAAACACTCTAACCTAAATAAAACATTTTAATGAAAAGAGAGAGAACTAATTGAGGTGGATTGTATGAAAAGACATTCATAGAGAGGCTGAAGGATGACACTAAAACAAAAAAAGAGAAGTAAAAAAATATAGCCCCTCAAAAAGGAAACTTGTTTCACTTTGAAGCAATCCAAAGACTTAAACTGTTCCCTGATGCAAAACAGATTTTGCAAGGAAATCAGTGAAATACTATGACATTTTATCGGTGGAAAGAAAAGAAATCTCTGCAATTTTGAATCTATTGCGACACGTTAATGCACAAAATAGTTCTTAGGGAAAAGCTTTCGAATCTAGACTACTTACTGGAATCATCAGAACAGAAGGCACCAGCAAAGTGGTCGTTTCTGCAGTGAGTCACACTGCCAAGGCCTGAGTGAGGGCAACTAGTCAAATCAGTTTCATTCCCAAAGCAGCTGATCTGTTTTTGAGCGAAAAGAGTATTTGCAAAGCATGCCATTTTCTTTTAGGTGAGAATTTCAATTTCCCAAATTTCATTTGAGACCACAGGGGAAACCCAAAATAATAGACAACCTAATATATATGGGGTGCCCATTATAGAGGGTGCCCACATACGCGATTGGGTCGGGTCGGGCCGCTTTCTTGTGGTTCAGTGCACACTACAACCCCGTCGCGATTGAACCCGACGACCTGGAAGTTAAAGTAGAGAAACCTTTAACCTACATGCGACTACACAGAGGGCGTAAACCGGGCTACGATTGGCTGAACCTTTGACCCATAAATACATTAAGCACCGGTAGGCCTACGTACGGTACTCTTGGACTTCCCGCACTCCCTCTCTCTGTCTCCCTCTGTGTGTGTGTGTGTGTGTGCGTGAGTGCTTGCTTGCTTGCTTGCTTAAGTGTCTCTCTCCTTTCTTGTCTATTTTTCACTACCCATATATATCAGAGACCTAGATCTAGCAATGTTAAAATTGCTAGGTCCCTGCATAGGTCTATATCTCTCAACTTATCTCTCTCAGTCCCTGTCACTCTCACCACCCTCCCTCTGTAGTGCTCCTCCCCTTTCTTCTTACTCGTCTTCTTCATCTTCTAGGCCTATGAGCGCTCCAAACCCGCTGTGAGAAGTGAGAAGACGGTCAAAGGCGGAGACCGAAACTGGGAATTTCCAACCTACTTAATGCATTCATGGGTCAAAATGGACAAGTGACTCAGCCTTGTTGTGAATGGCTGGAAACCACCCGATCGCACGATTCGCAGGCCTGAAAACAAACGCGTTTGTTTTTGTAGGTCACCGACAGAGTCGATCGGTTTGTGCCACGATGGCTGCTTTGCGCCCTCAATTTGGCTAGCTGCGACTACCCAATAGGCCCAACCCGACAGCATATGTGGGCACCCCTATTAGCGCGATGGGGTCTGGTCGGATTGACATGTAGGGTCGTTTTCTGGTGGTTTTAGTGCACACTACAACCCCCTCGCCATTGTTCCAGACGACCTGGAAGTTAAAGTAGAGAAACCTTTAACCTCAATGGCTTCCAGGGCTCCTTTCCACCGTTCCTGGTTGCAGTGCTGCAGCAGCCTGAAATCCCATAAACATGGGTTACGTCGATAACTTTCTATTATCTTCTCTACGTCGAAGGAATCCATTGTTGTCAATTGTTGATGGTATTTTGCACGGAAATACCCGACTTTGACATCGCAGTGTCAAAATGGACACGTGACTCACCGTTGTTGTGATTAGCTGTAAACCACCTCATCAAACGACTAGCAGCCCTGAAAAGAAACGCGTCACAATGGCCGCTTTGCGTCCTTAATTTGGCTAGCCCTGGCTACCAAATTGACCTGACCCGACCTGATCGTGCTATAAAACTTAGATCATATAACAAGATTCTAGCCATGATCAGCATTTTCCCCCAAAACCAGTGCTGACTATCATGCTGACAATGGGGAGGAAACTTCAAAAAGAAAATGTAGCAATAGAAACTTGAACATAAACAAGAATTGTTTTAGAATGCAATCTTTTCTCTGCAAGCCCATTTTTAGCTTGAAACTTGAGTAAGATGGTGCTTGTGATTGTACCTTGAACTGTTTTTTCAAAGTGGCAACTTCTTTTGCTCCATCTGGAATATCACAATGTTCCTGACCTGAACATTCAATTTTACAGCAACAAAGGCATATTACAGACCTAGCCATCTAAAGCTGTTCAAAGGGGTGTCCATCCATACAGCATGGGGACAGTTAGTGTCAAATTATAATTGTTGTTGAAACACACTGACCTCAAAAGTGTAAATCATTCTCAATCGTAGGCTTATATATTCAAACAAGGTTTGAGTTTTTTTAACCACTAAACAAAGAGACAGAATAAGAAATGGTTTCAATTCTCCTTTAAAAAATATTTCTAAATTCTAGTGCAATTAGTCAAGAAATAATTTACATATAGCAGTGCAAATGCTGGCATGAGACAGTGACTGTTAGCTAGCAATAAGGTACTCCTCACAAAAGCACTACCTCTCTCTGCTCCTTAATGCCCAGACATGGTGCATCCCTCTGTCCTATCCCCCAATGAACTAATACCTTTTTATCTGTCAGCGCATGAAATTTCTCACATTAACTGATTTCTCTCAGTTGTTTGTCACAATTTGTTTGCACTAGTCATGTCTGCATGCGTGGGCAGATTTAAAGGAACAACATAAAAAGGGGAAAAGTTGATTTATCAGTTTATGAAAATGTAGGCTACCTCAGAGAGCCAAAAAGGCCCTTCAGAAGCATCAATGGTGAACCCAGGCTTGTAATGGTTATAAGCAGTTCCTTTATCAAAGCCAAGGTGTCTGCACAGGACGTTAGCATCAGCATCATCCCAGCCATCACTACAAATTGTTCCCTCGATCCCCAGGTAGGTAACACGGACCAGGCCAGACTGTATATTCTGATTAGTAGCATCCATAGAGACTGTGAAATCTGTAAGAGAATAAAGATACCTGAGTACAGTATCAATTTTAATCTTTTATTTCTATCTCATCAAACAATATTTCTAGCTTGACAGGTGTCATTTTTTACATTCTTCAGTTCATTAAACACAGAAACAAAAATGAAGCTTGCACATAAGCACAAGGTACAAAGAGAGTCCATATCCACTTTCAAAAAATCTCTTATCAATAGTAATTTTAAAGTAAGATACACTTTCAAGTTGTTGTTTTTTTAAGATAGACTTTCACAAACGTTTGAGAATATTAGTAACTTATATGTAAGTAAGCAAGCAACTTTTGTTGACTGAAGAACGCCTATGCTTAAAAAAAGAAAGACTTAAGCAAGACTAACATTGACAGAAACATTTACCACTGGATATTAAAATAAATAAATGTCATTTCTCAATTTACTTAAGCTAATCAAGCATTCCATTATTACCATCTGGCCTTTCACCCTTATAACAAGTGATAGCCACATAATCCTGTCTGTTGCAAAAGAATGGGGATCGAGTTGCAGCTGGATTGTGGTCACATTCCAATATGGACTGTTCAGCGCCATTACACTGGAAATCTTTAAAGAGTGGCTCCTCAAAGTTGTACCCATAAGCTTGGCAGCAGTGGAGAATGCCTTTCTCATAACCCAGCGTTTTGCAAGCAACATCTGGCCAAAAAAAGTAAAACATAAGCAATCAGAAGAGAAATCTTTTCATCAACATGTTTTAAGCATGAGACCAGCTCTCAAGCTGCCCATCTTTTTATGACATTACATTTTATCTACACTCAATTGTCTCATTCTGGTGGCCTATTCTTTGCATCACTTTTTAGAATAAACTAGATATTTTTCAGACCTCAAAACTTAAATGAAAGTAGAATTCAATATTCCTACGAGCATAAAGAGCAGGATTTTCATGATTTTGAACTTAAGAATTCATAAAACCATGAATTTCAATTGCTATGTGTCATTATAAAATACTCCAGAATGAAGCCATTGGTTTCCATGCCACTTCTTAAAACTGTGTTCAGTATAGATTCACAACCGCACAGGTAAAAGATGTGAATCTTTAACACATACCTGACTTACTGCTGATGTTTTGTATTGTTATAAAATTTCTGACATGACCTTTTCTTAAAGAAATCCTTCCTCTACATGTCGCTGGCCTTTTGATGGAACCATGAATTTTTAAATTTTACTGGAAAGACATAAAACTATCTAACATTGTTAATGTCAACACTTAGGTAATCAAATTTTGCCTGTGTATTTAGATATGGGCCTCAGTCAAATCAAAATCCTGAAAAGAACTGTGTGTTTTACCTGAGCTCACTATTATGCAATCTTAGTGACAAAACATCCTTTGGCTAACAAAAGTGAGGAGGGAGGGGGGGGGAATGTGATTTTTAATTTAATTTTTTTTTCTTCTTTTTTTACATACTTATAGTGATAATGAAATTTGAGTCACTTCCTGGAAGAAACCTGCCACTCTTTAGAATGTATACAAAGATAGCATTCAATATTCCCAAGAATATGATGGAGCCGGATTTTCATAATTTTGAGCTTAAGAATTTATAAAACGGTCAGTTTTGATCACTATAAATCATGATCATAAATCTACAGAGCTTCGATCTACGACACTGACATGTAAGCACTGCGACAGAATGTGCGCTTAAAAAATAGGAAGAATTAGCCATGAAAGAAGCTGCATGAAGAAAACCTTGAGACCATCTTGAGCTAAATTGACCGTCTGCATAGACGAAATGAGCCATATAAATCATGATATAAGACATTGCTCTCTAATTCCTCTTTTAGAAAAATGCAAGTATCGACTCTTCAGTACATGTTCAAAGCTGGTTAGGGAGCTCAGGCTCACAAAGTCAAGTGTTTGTCGGTGACACTGTGATTAGGCAGGTGGTCACTTTGGTGTGTTTTTGAGCAGCACACGATAGCCAGCTCAACAACAGAGTGCTGCATAGTGGCGACCAACAATGGTGTTTGGATTGTGTGCGCTTGTGATACATTGATAAACTGAAATTTTATTTTCATTTTTATTTAGTAGATATTATATTCTAAAGACTTGGTGACAGCAAGACTGTCGTCAATTAGTTGTGACAGTAGTAGTGGCCAAAAGAAATATAAGACGTTCTTAGCCCTAAGTTCTAGGTTGTTGTGCTGAAGGCACAAATTCAGCTAGTTTAGAACATCTTTAAAAATATAAACTGTAGGAAAGATGACATGAGAAAAAAACAACAACTTTCACATGGAGTTGTAGTGAAAAAGGACTGGAAACTGATAGTATTACTCTTATTTAAATCAAAGTATTCCTGTCTCTTTCCAGCTAAAAATATTCTGCACCATTCACTGTCCATTACTTACTTGCACAGCAAGAAAAGGCACCTACTGAACAAGTTTAAGAACAAATATGCATCACCATTGCATACTTTAGTTTGCCCAAAACAAGGCTTCAACATAAATATCACTTTTGAATATGAATTTCAACGTTTAAGTAAAATGAGCATAAAGCAAAAGACCAAAGAATTAATTACCAGCCTCTTTTTGACCAAAGTCTTTATCACAAACAACACCATATCTGTCTGTCTGTGTATTAAATATGGAAAGGATTCCACTTGATGGTGTGGGTCCACTGTCCAGTTGCACTGAAACAGATATAAGTGGAACATTTAAAAAATCTAAATTACAAAATAAAAAAATATGAAAACAATATTAATTAAAACAATTTAAGATAAAATCCTATTTTTGAAAGAGTATCTTCTGTTTGTAAGACAAAAAAACAACAGCTCTAAAATACACTTACAACAGTTTTACACCTTACTATGACAAAACTATTTTTTCACTATAATCAATATCTTAACATTTTACACTTGTCCATTTGCAACAAACATTTCAGGACATACAGATAAGAGTAGCAAAATGAATAATAAGTGAGATAATGCAAGACAAATGTATTAAATCATAGGGTGCTACTTAATTTTGTTAATCTGAAAAAGGTGTTCAACCCTATCTATCCTGAAACCATGGGACAAGAAAAACGAGGAAAAAAAAATAACGAAAGCCATCAGTCATCATATCCATTCTGCAAAAACAAGTATCCTAGTAATATGATAAGAGCAGAGAAATGTACCCCATCCCTGCCTGTAGTCAAATGAGTTCCCCCCCCCCCCCCCCCCACAAAAGAATTCTTTTCTTTTCATCTCTGTAACGATAGGCACTCACCTCCCAAGCTGCACTCAACATACACCACAGAATCTGCTGTGACTTCAGAGGGAGCTTCAGGCAGTAAGGATCCAGTACATTCTAAGATCGATGACTCAGTTCCAGAACAACTTATAAAGTCCATCAGGATTCGTTCTTGAACTGTTCCAGGAACTCTTCGAATAAGAGTATTTCCACTTAGATATCCCTTTCCCAGACTTTTACAAAATACAGCAGCTTCCTTGTTGCTAAATGAATGAAATCCCAAGACATATGTCGTTCCATCAACCACGACCTCTGCCCGTCCTGAGTCTGTATTGACTTGGTATTTCAAAGAGTCTGAGGGTAAAGTAAGATGTTGAAAGCACAAAATAATAGTGCTAACTAATTGCTACCTCAGAATTACAAAGTTCTATCTGCTCCGTACCTAGTTTTGAGAAATTTGACTAAAAACATTTTGAGTTTCACAATGTTTCAACCTTTTTAAAAATCCAACTCTTTGAATGTCTTGATAAGGACACAGAATAATCTTACCATTTTGATACAGCAGATAAAGTATTTTTTTGATTTCTGACCTCATGAATAACTCAAAACTGTCAAAGATGTCAGATAGAACTTTGTAATTCTCAGGAAGCAAAATTAAAGTAGTGATGATTGTGATGGGACAAGAGCTAGGCTGGGTAAAAAGGAAATGGCATTTTCTACTTCATTTGTCCTTAATTTCATACTCATTAATAAGAATAAAAGAACTTCATTATGTTCTCACTGAGTAGAGTAAAAAGCATTGTATGTGATCTAACAACATTTCTCTAAGCAGCTACACAAAAAGAGAGGTAATGCATCTACTCAACCCCTTGTTACTTTTGCTTTGAAAGCTGTTTTTAGTTGACTTAAACCCTTTGAGCCCTCCCCACTGGTATGCAGGGGCGAAGGCTGACTTGTTTGACAGGGTAATCAAAGTGAAATGGGACCAGATAGGGCCTGGAGATATCACATTCACACAAGTCACAAGAATCTTACGGGCACTGGAGGCGGCAACTCTGAGTTGTGAATGAAAACAAATCCTGAATTCATGTTGTATGCTTGTTCAACCGCTAAAATAATCGGGAAAGTATTTCATTAAATATTTATTCTAACTAACCTTAAATTAAATTTAGATTTGAACACACGAACACCAAGGAAAGAAGCATAGATGTCAGCACTACAATGGCATGTTATACCAGACAGCCGAAACACTTTGGAAGAGCACGCCAATTATTAATTTTTTATTTCACATTTGGCTGTTTTTTGTCTAGCTTTTCGCGGCCAGGAGCCGCTGTCATAATCGAGGTCACGATCTGATTATAGGACGTTAAAAAGTCGAGGAAAAAAACAAGCACTAGCATTGTAGTAACAGGAGTCAAAGGATTATAAGGAGTTAGTTCCCCTCACATCTGTGAGGTAGACTCGACCAGTGTAATAGTTTGCTTAGATAATCAGCGCGTCTGGGTGCTTATAACTGTGGCCCGAGAGGGGTGAGGGGTGAACAGGGTATATACGACAATGAAACAGTTCTGACTGCTATGCACATGTTCCCTTCAAATCTATGGGTTGACTCTTCCAGCCTCACTTTAAGCTTACTTAATCAAAGCTTGTGACTGCTTATGGAGTGGCCCGATAGGGGCGAACAGGCTATTTCTGTGGCAATGAAACGGTTTTGAAGGTTAGGCATAGTCTATTGTTCATTGGTGATTATGAACGTCTTTTTACATTTAATTTATGTGGTTTACGTCTAGGAGTGAATTTGACTGCGACAATGTTTCAAAATTAGAAAGGGAAGCAGTGATTATTTGATTATATAGACGCTTCGCCTCTGCTGGTACGTTAAACTTCCCGTATGCCTAGCTACTGGTACAGCCATGAGCAAGACACTATCTCCAAACTGGCCCACCTGGGACAAAACACTCGCGGGAAACCGTGTTTACTACACAGAGCGTTACTGATTATTTTGAAGATCTTTCTGAAGAAGATGCTAGTAATGACCAGGACTACCATGAGTGGGATATGGAATGTGATTCCCATGATCAAATGAATGTTAATAATATAGTGCTCAGGAGCTCAAGCAGACAGAGGGGCATGGTGGCATCAGGAAGTCAGGGCTCAAAGGGTTAAAAGGTTCAGTGAGCTCTCACACACTCAGCACAATGCATATTTACAGTTTACTAATGAGGTAATTCATACCAAAACATAAAAAGAAATGTTTAAAAAGTGATCATCATACTTAGAACAGTTCTTGTGCACAACACATTGGGTTCCTCTCGGTTTGGACAGCTACCATCCGAATTCCACACTGCATAGTCACAATCAGATATCCTGGTCTCTGTGCCAGAGCAATTGAGGCTTCCAACCATAAATGTAGATCCAGTCCCTACTTTTGAATTCATAAGCATGTGGCCCTTGGCATACCCACGTTCCTTGCAAATGACATTAGCTTCCTTCTCCTGAAATCCTTCTGCACAGACACGCCCTTCAATGCCATATCTTTGCACAGTTGGGGACCCTACAAAGTCCGGTAGATGTACTATTTGGAGGTCTGAAAAATAAAACATTTTGAAAATGGTTACAGAAATCAGCAGCCAAATATACTGGAGAAGACAAAAAAGCAAAACTGATGTCCATCATACGATACTACATTCTAGAACAATGTTTTTTTTCTAACTTTATGCTATATTTTCTCTCAGCAGGGAACAGCAAAATATAAAAAATTTCTCTGCAGCTCAACCACGACTCAAAACACAGAATGGCACAGCCTTTTAAATACATTTGTTTAATGGGGTTGGAGGGGGGAGGGGGGGCATGGGAAGGGGCAAAGAGCAAGTAGGACTACCCTTTCATAATAACTTTTACCTACTGAACTTACTTTCAACAGGGAAAGGGCTTGATCGGCAATGTACAGAAGCTATGGATCCTTCAGTAGGGCATGCTTTGCCTCTACTCACTGAGCAGTTACTTATTAGCGAGTCCATCGACGGGCAAGACAGTTTTGTGACAAAAGTGTTGGCTGTCTCCTCTAGCTCACCAAAAGCATTACAGCACTGCTGTTTGCCGTACTGATAACCAAAATTTTTGCAGATCACTGAGGCCTCTTTGTCACTTATTGTTCCATCACAAACTGGATGCCACTCATCTGTCTCTTTCTCGTGCAGAAGGACCAGCCCACCAGATCTGGCCTGTACAGGCCCTTGTACCAGCTCCACTGCAGAAGAAACACAAGTGTTGAAGGGAACAATTACTACTGCTGATCTAAAGAAAAAAGTAAGCCACTCCAACAACAGCATTAAGTTCAGGTTAACAGGAGCTGAATAATAGAATAAAAGTAGAAATATATATTGCAGAATGTACAATTCGATAAAGAGTTGAGAGAATTTTAGAATTTTATATTGATCTGATGCTGTCTTATATGTGAGGCAGCGTGGTGAAATCAGGTGCTCGTCAAAATACATAGGCTAAATAGGAGAAACAGGCATTTTTCAGAGTTTGGAAATTTTTATTGATTTTTAATTTTGGCTCATTTAACCTCTTTTATGTCCATTTAAAACACATTTCCAAGTGGATTTTACTTTAAAAAATATTGATTAAAGGAACAAAATATGTCATTTTTGTGCTTTCAAGGACTCCTTAGCTACTGAAGTTACCAACTTTGGCGGCCATTTTCTCGCTAATTTCACCACAGAAACCAGGCGACCTCACTACTTTCAATCGCAAATATCTCACCTCCCAAGCTGCACTCAACATACACCACAGAATCTGCTGTGACTTCAGAGGGAGCTTCAGGCAGTAAGGATCCAGTACATTCTAAGATCGATGACTCAGTTCCAGAACAACTTATAAAGTCCATCAGGATTCGTTCTTGAACTGTTCCAGGAACTCTTCGAATAAGAGTATTTCCACTTAGATATCCCTTTCCCAGACTTTTACAAAATACAGCAGCTTCCTTGTTGCTAAATGAATGAAATCCCAAGACATATGTCGTTCCATCAACCACGACCTCTGCCCGTCCTGAGTCTGTATTGACTTGGTATTTCAAAGAGTCTGAGGGTAAAGTAAGATGTTGAAAGCACAAAATAATAGTGCTAACTAATTGCTACCTCAGAATTACAAAGTTCTATCTGCTCCGTACCTAGTTTTGAGAAATTTGACTAAAAACATTTTGAGTTTCACAATGTTTCAACCTTTTTAAAAATCCAACTCTTTGAATGTCTTGATAAGGACACAGAATAATCTTACCATTTTGATACAGCAGATAAAGTATTTTTTTGATTTCTGACCTCATGAATAACTCAAAACTGTCAAAGATGTCAGATAGAACTTTGTAATTCTCAGGAAGCAAAATTAAAGTAGTGATGATTGTGATGGGACAAGAGCTAGGCTGGGTAAAAAGGAAATGGCATTTTCTACTTCATTTGTCCTTAATTTCATACTCATTAATAAGAATAAAAGAACTTCATTATGTTCTCACTGAGTAGAGTAAAAAGCATTGTATGTGATCTAACAACATTTCTCTAAGCAGCTACACAAAAAGAGAGGTAATGCATCTACTCAACCCCTTGTTACTTTTGCTTTGAAAGCTGTTTTTAGTTGACTTAAACCCTTTGAGCCCTCCCCACTGGTATGCAGGGGCGAAGGCTGACTTGTTTGACAGGGTAATCAAAGTGAAATGGGACCAGATAGGGCCTGGAGATATCACACTCACACAAGTCACAAGAATCTTACGGGCACTGGAGGCGGCAACTCTGAGTTGTGAATGAAAACAAATCCTGAATTCATGTTGTATGCTTGTTCAACCGCTAAAATAATCGGGAAAGTATTTCATTAAATATTTATTCTAACTAACCTTAAATTAAATTTAGATTTGAACACACGAACACCAAGGAAAGAAGCATAGATGTCAGCACTACAATGGCATGTTATACCAGACAGCCGAAACACTTTGGAAGAGCACGCCAATTATTAATTTTTTATTTCACATTTGGCTGTTTTTTGTCTAGCTTTTCGCGGCCAGGAGCCGCTGTCATAATCGAGGTCACGATCTGATTATAGGACGTTAAAAAGTCGAGGAAAAAAACAAGCACTAGCATTGTAGTAACAGGAGTCAAAGGATTATAAGGAGTTAGTTCCCCTCACATCTGTGAGGTAGACTCGACCAGTGTAATAGTTTGCTTAGATAATCAGCGCGTCTGGGTGCTTATAACTGTGGCCCGAGAGGGGTGAGGGGTGAACAGGGTATATACGACAATGAAACAGTTCTGACTGCTATGCACATGTTCCCTTCAAATCTATGGGTTGACTCTTCCAGCCTCACTTTAAGCTTACTTAATCAAAGCTTGTGACTGCTTATGGAGTGGCCCGATAGGGGCGAACAGGCTATTTCTGTGGCAATGAAACGGTTTTGAAGGTTAGGCATAGTCTATTGTTCATTGGTGATTATGAACGTCTTTTTACATTTAATTTATGTGGTTTACGTCTATGAGTGAATTTGACTGCGACAATGTTTCAAAATTAGAAAGGGAAGCAGTGATTATTTGATTATATAGACGCTTCGCCTCTGCTGGTACGTTAAACTTCCCGTATGCCTAGCTACTGGTACAGCCATGAGCGAGACACTATCTCCAAACTGGCCCACCTGGGACAAAACACTCGCGGGAAACCGTGTTTACTACACAGAGTGTTACTGATTATTTTGAAGATCTTTCTGAAGAAGATGCTAGTAATGACCAGGACTACCATGAGTGGGATATGGAATGTGATTCCCATGATCAAATGAATGTTAATAATATAGTGCTCAGGAGCTCAAGCAGACAGAGGGGCATGGTGGCATCAGGAAGTCAGGGCTCAAAGGGTTAAAAGGTTCAGTGAGCTCTCACACACTCAGCACAATGCATATTTACAGTTTACTAATGAGGTAATTCATACCAAAACATAAAAAGAAATGTTTAAAAAGTGATCATCATACTTAGAACAGTTCTTGTGCACAACACATTGGGTTCCTCTCGGTTTGGACAGCTACCATCCGAATTCCACACTGCATAGTCACAATCAGATATCCTGGTCTCTGTGCCAGAGCAATTGAGGCTTCCAACCATAAATGTAGATCCAGTCCCTACTTTTGAATTCATAAGCATGTGGCCCTTGGCATACCCACGTTCCTTGCAAATGACATTAGCTTCCTTCTCCTGAAATCCTTCTGCACAGACACGCCCTTCAATGCCATATCTTTGCACAGTTGGGGACCCTACAAAGTCCGGTAGATGTACTATTTGGAGGTCTGAAAAATAAAACATTTTGAAAATGGTTACAGAAATCAGCAGCCAAATATACTGGAGAAGACAAAAAAGCAAAACTGATGTCCATCATACGATACTACATTCTAGAACAATGTTTTTTTTCTAACTTTATGCTATATTTTCTCTCAGCAGGGAACAGCAAAATAAAAAAAATTTCTCTGCAGCTCAACCACGACTCAAAAAACAGAATGGCACAGCCTTTTAAATACATTTGTTTAATGGGGTTGGAGGGGGGAGGGGGGGCATGGGAAGGGGCAAAGAGCAAGTAGGACTACCCTTTCATAATAACTTTTACCTACTGAACTTACTTTCAACAGGGAAAGGGCTTGATCGGCAATGTACAGAAGCTATGGATCCTTCAGTAGGGCATGCTTTGCCTCTACTCACTGAGCAGTTACTTATTAGCGAGTCCATCGACGGGCAAGACAGTTTTGTGACAAAAGTGTTGGCTGTCTCCTCTAGCTCACCAAAAGCATTACAGCACTGCTGTTTGCCGTACTGATAACCAAAATTTTTGCAGATCACTGAGGCCTCTTTGTCACTTATTGTTCCATCACAAACTGGATGCCACTCATCTGTCTCTTTCTCGTGCAGAAGGACCAGCCCACCAGATCTGGCCTGTACAGGCCCTTGTACCAGCTCCACTGCAGAAGAAACACAAGTGTTGAAGGGAACAATTACTACTGCTGATCTAAAGAAAAAAGTAAGCCACTCCAACAACAGCATTAAGTTCAGGTTAACAGGAGCTGAATAATAGAATAAAAGTAGAAATATATATTGCAGAATGTACAATTCGATAAAGAGTTGAGAGAATTTTAGAATTTTATATTGATCTGATGCTGTCTTATATGTGAGGCAGCGTGGTGAAATCAGGTGCTCGTCAAAATACATAGGCTAAATAGGAGAAACAGGCATTTTTCAGAGTTTGGAAATTTTTATTGATTTTTAATTTTGGCTCATTTAACCTCTTTTATGTCCATTTAAAACACATTTCCAAGTGGATTTTACTTTTAAAAATATTGATTAAAGGAACAAAATATGTCATTTTTGTGCTTTCAAGGACTCCTTAGCTACTGAAGTTACCAACTTTGGCGGCCATTTTCTCGCTAATTTCACCACAGAAACCAGGCGACCTCACTACTTTCAATCGCAAATATCTTGAGTACTATTCGAGACAGATGAATATTTATTTCATAGGAAGTGAGGCAAATAAATTAGCTTTCAGACGATACCAATAACTCCACAGGCCCAAAAATTGACGAGCGCCTGATTCCATCGTGTCTTGACACATATAATAATAAAATAATAACAAATAATATTTATATAGCACAAATTCCTGCTCAACAGCAAGCTCTATGCACTTTACAATTTATTTTAGTACCTCAGCAGACCCGACCCGATAGCATTCTGGAACAATGTCAACTTCCTAGGAAGAATACAGTGTATACACATAACTGTAACAGAATCCTGGAACAGGCAATTTTCCAGATAATGCATATTCCTGCACAGATTTTCACTTACAAATCATTGGACCAAATATGGTATTGTAAGATGCATCAACCATCAGAACAAAATAAGTTGAATTGACATATCACATCATATATGACAGCATTATGATTCCTTCGCTTATTAAAACAAAGCAAATTTCCTAGAATTTATCAGATTGAATAGAATATAAATAACAAAATAAAACGTAGGCCTACAGAACACACAAAGATTCACCTGAATTGAAGCACTGAAGAACAGCATGATCAAATCTAATTGCACAAGACTCTGCCATGTCTCCAAAGCCAAAAGCATACATCTGGCACTGAGAAATGCTTGATTCATCGCCTTGACATTTCAAGCCAGTGAGAATGGGGGACGGCCTGCTTAAGACACTGGGATCACTAATGTGGAGGAAAGTGCCACCGCTGTAGAGATAGAAAGATAGATCAAGTGATCAGAAAATATTAAATTCATAAAGGGGCACAAAATCTGGTAAACCTGGTTTAACTGGTTCCATCCATTCGGCGCTGACAGCGGCTCTGTGTTTTTCTACTGTCGCTATTCGACCGCTGTGAGCGGCTCGACAAAATTCTAGAGAAATCCAAAACAAATGTGCACTTTTTAACCTAGTTCCTACTTTTTAAGTCGTCGAAAGGAAGTAGAACTTGTAAACAAGCCTGATCTCAATCTCTCAGCGTCAAAATCGATCGAAACTCCGCGAAATTCTAGCATAAATGATTATTTTGCTGTTTCTAAGTAAGGGAAAACAACACGGAGCCTGGCATAATAAAAAGGCCCTTCAGTGAAAGATATTCATATAAATTTGGGAAATTCTTGCAAAAATGGGTGCTAGGGTGATATCTCTACAATGTTGTGCTGACTCCTATGGATTATAAGGACTTGTAGAGTTGAGAAAATGAGGTTTTTTCTCATTCGTTTTTTTCTGAGGGAAAATACAATACAATCAGAATATAAGTCATTGTAATTGATATAATCAGATTCCTCTATTTATTCCCATTAGTTTGGTATATGTTGTTGCTGCTGTTGTTATCGATCCAGCAGCAGCTGGGCTATCACCCTTCTGTCCAATGCCATGTAGTGAAGTGCAGGTCTGCTGCAGTTGCTGTAATGTTCCATAGAGTGTGTTGTCAATGTTAGGTCTCGGAGGGAGAAGGGTAGCTCTGATGTCATTTCGGGCTGCGCAGTGGAAAAGGTGATGATTCACAGTCTCATATGCATAGTCACACAAGGGACACATTGGGGAAAGTTCCGGGTTTATTCATTTCAGGTGGAAGTTGAGCTGTATATGTTCTGTTTGTAGGCGGAAGATCGTGGTCTGTTTCTTTCTCTGTATGTGGTTGATATTGTCAATCCTTTTTGTTGTGGTCATATGTTTGAAAACTGCTCTGCTCTGCCTGTCTTTTCCAGGGCCAATCTGTTCACCCAATCTTGTTTGTTGTTGCTTTTAATGATTTGTTTTGAAGTGTTGTATGAAGTTGGGATGTTGGGTTGTTCCCATCTAGATCCCCGTTTGGCAAGTGTGTCTGCTCTGTCATTTCTAAGTATGTTTGAGTGTCAGGGGACCCACTGCATTACTAGGTTGATGCCGCAGAATGTTATCAGATGATGGGAGCCGAACATTATATGAGTCAAATCTTAGTTTAGATGATGGTCATTTTCTTTGGCTTGTAAGACTGATAGTGAGTCAGTGAAAATCACAATACTCAGCGCTTTTCTAGGATGAGAGTCAAAAACTGTGTGGAGATGGTATAGTGCTGTTTCAATTGCTATCATTTCTGCATTGCAGTTGCTGCTTTTCTCTCCACAGGCTGCAGAGATCTCATTGGAACTTCCATCTGGGTACTGTACTAGTATTCCATATCTGGCTTTGGTTCTGCCTTTGAATGCTGAGCCGTCCGTATAGACGTGTATCCAGTCATCTGAATAGCTGTCGATTGTTTGATGTGATGCAAGCATCAGCGTCACTGGGTCTGAAGATTTTGTGCTATTGTCTCTGAGAGAAGTTTTAATGATTGGTTTTTCCAAAGAAATGTGGGGAGGGATGTTTTGGTTGACTCTTTTGGTTTCTCTTCTGTTTTGTGGTAGGTGGTGGCTCTCCATTAGTTCTGTGATGCGATGCTGTTATGATTGGCTTTTTCAAAGAAAGGTGGGGAGGTCTGATCCCCATGAACTGCTTGCGAGCTTCTTTAAAAGTTGGACTCTTTTTTTGCCTTGTTCCTTATGTTCTCCACTTGGCTTTTCATGATTAGACTATGGTCAAGTTTGACTCCGAGGTAAGTTGGATGTTCTTCTTTTGGGAGACTTTCATTTCCTATCTTTAGTTTGAGATTTTCTTTGGCTGCTTTATGGCTCTTCGTAAAGATGGTGCAGTTTGGTATCTATGACAATACATATTAGAGTAACTTAGAGCTTCACAGTGATGCATTAAATAATGCACCCCGGGTGAAAAATTTAACAGGAAAAAATAACTCTGTCCAGAGCCTGAAAAAGTCATGGATGGAATCAGTTAAGAAAAAGGAAAAAGCCAACATAAGTTCTCAGTAAGAAAGAAATGTCTATATATATAATATCATTCTCTTTTAAAAAAACAAAACAAACAGTGTGCATATAGTCTGAATACCAATGCCAGGATACAAGAAAAAGTGTGTAAGTGCAAACCAAACTCAGGTGTGATTGGATTGTTGTTTGTTTTCATTGAAAAATGATTTTGTTTATTTTGTATTTTCAATTATGATCAAGAAAAAGTTTGAGTTGAACGGCAAACACAATGCCTAAATAATGGGAAGTGATTTGTTGGTAGGCTATTAACTACAACAAAGAGCATATAAATGACTTCATATCTTTATTAATAAAAACAACAACAACAAAATAGAAGCTAGAACTGCACAGTAATCCTGAAAAGGCTATGCAAGTAAACACACACACAGTCTTTTATAGAGCTTTACCTTCCTCCTAATTCTTTGCAAAGGACCACAGCCTCTTCGTCAGATAACGTCAAATCATCACAAATAGTGCCCCATGTGCCACCAATCTTCACTTTTGGAATGCCATAAACGGCCCCTGGAATATCTGCAATCCTCACTTCTATCTTTCCGGGATCTGCAATTGAAAGAGTCATAAAAATAAATAATCAAGACACACTGTTGAACCTCATGTACACATTGCCTATTGATTTTTATTTGGTTAATAAAAGCTGTGCAAATAAAGCATTTTCTACCTTAAATGATGCATTAAACTTGAAACTCTTTACATTTTTCAAACATTTTTTTTGTTGGAAGGGGAAATTCTAAGTTGCAAATAAGATAAAGTAGAAGAAGACAGAAGTGTTCATTGTTGCAAGAGTGGCAGGGGAAATACGATGCAAAACAAAACAGAATGTGGCTCTGTGCAATGTTCCATAATATGGACTTAACTTAAGCTAAAGAGCAGCCTTACGTCTACATCTTTTTCCATCAAATTTTTCAGAATTAGTACCATTCAAATCAAAGTTTATGGCCAGGGGAGGGATGGGGGCATTATTCTGGTGGTTCACTACTGCAACAAACTTTCCACGTATCTAGTAAGAGTACAAGCTCAAACAAAACCAAGCTAAAGAAGAAAAGTGCAGTCATTTTAGGTAGACTATTTGAAGCTACCTGTTGCTGGTAAGCACTGCACAGTAGCGATCTCGTCACATGCAGGAGCCATGCCCAGTGAGAACTTGGGGCAGGTGCTCAGAGAGCTCTCTACGCCAAGGCATTGTGGAGTCACTAGCCAAGGAAACTGAAGGTCATCTGTGTTGGTGGTTGTGAAAGCCAGACCAGTAGAGAATCCCAGCTCTCTGCACAGAACTTTGGCGTCATTGTGAGTGAAACCTTTGGCACACACTGAACCAGTGAGGCCATAATACCTTATATGAACTCTGCCTCTGTCACCTCTTTCCAAGAAAGGGAGATATTCTGGAGAGACAATTCCATACATATAAAACACAAGCATAGCATCTTTTTTCTAAAAGAAATTTGATAGACTGTCATATAAACTAATGAAAACATAATTGAACAACTCAACAATATTCATAAACATAGACACAGCTTTATAACACAAAGAGTGGGTCAGATAGTCAATGATAGAAATGACATCTGCTTTATGTTCACAGTTACGAGGGACGTCCAGAAAGTAGTACCGTTTTCACATCTCTCTGAACTGGGTTAGGATATTCTTGATTTTGCACAACAGTGAGTTGATGTGTTCAATACTGAACCGGAAAGAGCCCTCAGCTTCCATCTTGCCGTTGTAAACAACAATCTACGATGCTTGCAAAACACTTCACCCACTTTTTCCTCGACAGTTTACACAGCCACATTTTGTATCAAACATCCTACACCCTTTTGAAGCTTCAACATGTCTTCCAAGATTGAAAATTATGCTGACAATGAAATTCAATCTGTTATTCATTTTCTGACTGCAAAGAACACGAAGCCTAGTGACATTCATGGCAGATTTCTGAAGTGTATGGTGAAAATGCAATGAGCGAAATCACGGTGCGGAAATGGGTTCGCATGTTCAAAGAGGAACGAGAAGATGTGCATGACGAACCCAGGAGTGGGCGTCCATCTTTGGTCAGTGATGGTTTGATGAACAAAGTTGACATTAAGGTAAAGGAAGACGGCGTTTTACCCTTTCCTCACTCTCTCCAAACTTTCCTGAGATTTCAAGGTTGCTTCTGCATGAAATCGTTACTGACCATTTGGTTTATCCAAAGGTGTGCTCACGCTGGGTACCCAAGCAGCTGACACAAGAGCATAAGGATCAAACGGGCTGCCAGCGCATTGACATTCCTGACACGTTGTACTCATATTGTGACGTAGGATGAAACCTGGTTGCCCCACTCCATGCCCAAGTCAAAGCAGCAGTCGATGCAGTGGAAGCATACGGATTTGCCCTAGCCAAAAAAGTTCAAGCAGGCCGTGTCAGGAAAAAAAGTCATGTGTACAGTGTTTTGGGACAGACAAGGAGTTCTTTTAGTAGAATTTTTAGGAAACGGGATGACAATCAACTCTGATGTGTACTGCAACACACTTAAAAAACTGCATAGAGTAATTCAAAACAAAAGACGTGGAATGCTTAGCAATTGCGTTGTTCTGTTTCACGACAATGCAACTCCCTAGAAGTCTGCAAAGACCCAAAACCTGATCGCCTCCTTCGGATGGGAACAGTTAAAGCACCCATCATACAGTCCAGACCTGGCTCCTAGTGACTTTCATCTGTTCCTGCATTTGAAAAAGTTTTTGGCCGGGCAGGACTTTGACTCAGACGCTGATCTCAAAGGAGAGACTCGACATTGGCTGACTTCGCAGGTGGCAGCTTTCTACAATGAGGGCATTCAGAAGCTCATCCCATGCTATGACAAATGCCTCAACAGTTCTGTTGACTACGAGGAGAAATAGTCACATATATGAGGTATTCAAAAATAAATCGTTTTGATTGGGAAAACTATTTCTTTTATAATTATTTTTAAAACGTTACATACTTTCTGGACGTCCCTCGCATCTGACCTTAGTCAAATATCTAGCTTACTCAATGCAGTATGTTTCTCAGAAACATTGTCCCATTTTGAATCCATAAATAAACATACAGTCGAACCTGCCCTGACGGCCACCTCTATAAGACGGCCACTTGTACAAACAGGCACTTTCTATTCCCCCCCTTTGAGTTTTTTCTATATAATTTATCTGTGTAAAACGGGCACCTATCCAACACGGCCGCAGCCACCATATTTCAACACACAACCCCTATCACACAAAGCAATAACACCTGTCTTAGACGGCCACCTTAGTGACTCCATTACGTTTTTTCATAAATCAAGCATTGGCCCCTGGCGTTGTGGGCGAGCCATCATAATCTAATCACCTGTCGTTGATAGGTAATCCCTCCAACTGATCATGTTGCGTAGGCCCCTCCCACTGTTGACCAATAGGTAACAAAATTAATTTTCAGCTGCTGGTGAGGGAAGCGTGTGATCCCTCATAACCCATAAGCCTCGCCCAGAACTCACAAATCGTAAATGAGATGAGTGGTCACTGTTTACCCAGTCTGTAACAAAGTAACAATGGACGTTAGCATGAACTTGTGACAGAAGCATCGCTCGTTCTCCGAGTGGTAGTGACCCGTGTGTTTGTTTTACCATAGCACTTGGTCCCCCTTGTCTGACACATTTTGTTTTATTGTCCCCCTTGCACAAAAGCAGAAACAAAAGAACCCCCCCCCCCCCCAGCAAAAACAACAAAAATAACATCAACAACAATGCAACTATCTTCGGTTGGGACCTAAGAAAGGAAGGGTCTGTTTTCTCAGAAAGGAATGGTTTGTTTTCTTCTTCTTAATCAGTCCTGCCTAAGACAGCCACCTGTCTTATACGGCCACTTTTCTCCTTGACAATGGGTGGCCGTCTTACACAGGTTCGACTGTATTTCCCAACTCGCATTTCTTTACAATAACCAAGCTCAAATTTGCTTCAAACATGCACTGAAAGAAGTTCACAAACAGGCACTTTAAAAAGTTATGCTTTCAAATGTGAGCTCATGATGACCTACAATTCTCAGCCTGCATACTATAGTAACAATCTGTAAACATGCAGAATGCATGATTATATTCTTTTTAAAAAACCCAGATATTAATGTTGTTCACTGTCAATTGTTTATTCATGTAATAATATCATCATATTTAAAAGAAATAACATTTTGCTTCATAGAGAGCCAAAATTTCCTAATTTCTGTAGGCCTACCAGTATTCTCAAGAAAGAGAAATTTTCCATAACAAGGGATATTGCCAGAATTGTAAAAGTGTCAAAGCAAAGCTCAAGCCCTCTTAGAAATTTTTAATGTATCATGGAGAAAAGAAACTGTATCTGTACAAATCTGAAGCTGTTCAGTTCTTCTCATATATGGTACATCCATGATTATTGCCTAGCTACAAAGACACATTCAGTAAAAGTTTTCTTACCATTCACAAGTTCATTGGAACAGGCTACTGAAGCATACTTGGCACTGGGACAGTTGAAACTTTCTCTATCCATATTCAAATTACAGTCAAGTAGGGATGACTCTGTGCCAGAGCAGTGTGCATTGCTAGCACCAATTCTCTAAAGATTTAAAAAAGACTCATAAAAAATTAGCATAAAGTACATAAACTTAAACAGTAACTGTAACACACTATTTTAAAAATCAAAGGGAATACAGTTACAAGCTTGAGATTTATGATATATATTTATACAGTAATCTGAGGCTCAAAACTCATATATCCTACCATAAAATAACACGTTACCAGAATATACACCCACATTCATAAATCCACCAAATTACCTTTCAGAACTTATGAAAATGTACACGCCATCTCATAATTTAAGATCTTCAAATGACCATCAGCTCTGCATGCCTAGGTCCAGAACAATGTTGGGTGAAAGGGCCTTTTCCATCTGTGCCTCAAACTTTGGAACAATTAGGATTTAGATGTTTAAATGTCCCTTTCAATTGATCAATTTAAATCAAAGTTGAAGACAATGTTTTTCAGGAAAGTATATATAATGCTGGAACTCTATATCACTGAGCTTTAAAGCTTTTGTGTGTGTGTGTGTGGTTGTGTGTGTGTGTGTGTGTGTGTGTGTGTGTGTGTGTGTGTGTGTGTGTGTGTGTGGGTGTGTGTGTGTGTGTGTGTGTGTGTGTGGGTGTGTGTGTGTGTGTTTTGTAAGCGCCACTAAGCACTTTCTGTGGATTCTGGTGCGTTATAAATTAATTTCTTCTTCTTCGTCTTCTTCTTCTTCTTCTTCTTCTTCTTCTTCTTCTTTTTCTTCTTCTTCTTTTTCTTCTTCTTCTTCTTCTTCTTCTTCTTCTTCTTCTTCTTCTTCTTCTTCTTCTTCTTCTTCTTCTTCTTCTTCTTCTTCTTCTTCTTCTTCTTCTTCTTCTTCTTCTTCTTCTTCTTACTAAATACACATTCACATATACACAAGTGCACACAAGCTTTCACTTGAATCCATATAGGAGAGAGCAGGGAGGTCTCGGACACGAGGACACTTTGGACACATCAATTCCCATTAAAGTATTGATAGTACACACTTTGTCACTGGATGACATTATATATCATGTGAGGCTAGACGTGCTGTGCTGTGCTTTAACCACCTCACTGTACAAACCCTACATTTGCAGGAAAGGAAATTGTGTTTTTGACCAGAGCGTATCTATACTTATACCTTAGTTTGTAGGGTTTACAAATCATAATTGTGAACCAATCTCTTCAAAAAACTGTGTGTATCTGTGCCTTAGGGTGTCTGTTTCAAATCAAATTCATACAATTAAACCTAGATTTCATGATGTGTGCGCCATGAATGTGCTTCCTACACTTTCCCCATGTAGGATGAGTTTGTATTCAGGGTGGGGTGACTTTGTACACTATCTGAAGTCTCCCGATGACTAATGTATGAGGACTAGGAATCAGAGTTACCATGAAAATTGAATTTAAAAAACGTATTCTTGTGTTGTTGTTGTATTTCCAAGACTGCAACCATGCCAAGGATACACAGAACCCTAAAAAGAAGATGAAACTCGCAATGCATGCACTTAATGACTCATTGTCTTTGCATCGTACAGAAGCTATGTACAATGTGAAGAAACCTACTCTGAAAGCTATTTAAAATGGTGAGACAACATTGATGCACTTTGGAGACGCTCTTTTACAATTACACAAATTTTTGATGATCCATTGGGGAAGAAACTCTTGGATTATTTTATAAAATGTTCAAGCATGTTTTTCTACCCCGACGTTTGTTATAATGTGTCATAGTGAACTATATGATCATGCAAAACCATGCCATAAGAAGAAAATCTACCTGAAAAGACTGGCTTTCTGGATTCTGGTTCGAAAGTGGCACCCTTCTCGTGGAACATAAAGAACGTAACTTTGTTGTCATCAAATTTGGGATTATTGGGACGGGTATCCACTTCTTTGGGAAAATGGTGTCAGAGAAAGACGAAGAGGGTGACTTGAGTGTCTTACCTAAAAAATCTAATAAGATTGCCAGCGCAAAAAACTAACATTGAAAAGAATACTTTTCATCTATCTTTATCACTGCAAAAACCAGCTCTGTTTTAAAATGACAAGGGGAAATTTCAAGTAAACACGTACAAATATGCATAAAAGCGGATTGGTTTATTGATATGACTGGATCACTGTCTTCTGTGATATCCAGTGAGTGTGAAATACATTTTCACACCTCAAGCAAAAGGTAGAAGTATAGATATATGCTGTGCCAAAGTTTTGCCTCTCAAAAATAATATTTGATACATGATATGAAACACACTGTCCAAAGTCACCCCTCTTCATTCAAAGATTTCCTCACATTTATCCAATATATCTCACAGAGTGGGGTAGTTTCGGACATCTGAGGGTACCTCAGATATGATACTCTGGTGGTAAAACGTGATGATGCATTAAGCTGATATCGTGATATATGGTGATGCCCAAATGGCTTACAATAATGGTGAGACCTTTTTCTTTGGCTTGATTTGTTCCCGAACCAAACCTTGGAGCCAAACATAAAAAGTGTCTGAAGCCTCCCCGCTCTCCTCTAAAAAATGTATTCTTAAACAGAAACACATTCACACACGACTGATGTGATACCTGAAATCAACAGATAAGAAAAATCATACCAGATAGGGAATGGGCAATGCAGAGCAGCAAATGGCCTTTCCAGAGTTATAAAAGAGAGATCTGCAAATCACGTCAGCCTCAGCGTCTGTGAAACCCTCTGAGCACAACAGAACGTACGATCCACCGCTGTATATTGACACAGCACCATGAGGCGATTCAGCATCAGGGAAAATGCGTACTGAAAATTACAGTTATAGAAGTACACTGCCATTTTTCTCTTATTACATCATCAATAAATTTTAATATCATAGAAATCAGGTGCAATTTAATTGCTTTACTCTTCCTCTACAAAAATTGGAAACAAGCTTGCTAAAAATTTTACCAACAACTTTCAGAACTGAATCACAAATATAAGTCCTTTCAGTTTTGGTCCAGGGTGAGTATTAAGATTCAAGACTAACAGGGAAAAGAGGAATACTTCTGCGCTTATTTTTCCTGAGGCAGTGCAATCACAGTCCAACTCTTCAAATAAGAACTATTTTATAAACATAAATTGCTGTCTGTAGAAGTATTAAAACTAAAGTATTAACCATAGATCTGAGGGTTTACGTTTTGACACAAGTTTCTACTTTTTCATGCAATAGACCATATATTCAGTAAATGAAACAGACCATCAGCCTTGAGGTCATGAAGTGAGCTTTAACATATTATCATTTATGAAGGAGGTATGGGAAAAATAAATGATTCAGTAGCAAGTTTTGCAACTTTCGAGAAATGCAGAGTTTTAACTTTGAGTTGCCTTATTGTTTCAAAAGCTGTAAAATATTTTTCTGTGAATATGAATAATACGATCCGATATTTTTCTTGTTAATTTAAATTAAATGTAAAAATACGTGAAGAAAATCTTTGAGTCTAAAACTAATCATAGGGAGCTTTATGATGTTTCAACTTTTTCTTTCTCAGAATCAGTTAATAAATGATTTTCATATACATACCATTGGAATAACATAGGACTTCCAAGTCATTTTCGTGTGTGCAGCCTTCATCCATTCCCCAGCCATCATGAGAGCACAACAAAATGGAATCTTCACTGGCTGAGCAATCGACATTTTTCAAATAAATGGGGCTATCCGTCATTCCATATCTTTTGGGAGAAGCCATAATGATGGTGCCGTCAATCATTCCCAACTGCTGGCAAACAGTCCGCGCAACAAGCCTCTTGTTTGGATCCTTATGACAAATGGTACCCCACACATTTTGGTAGTTGATCTCGACACGTCCAGCAAATTTGGACACCTTCCCATTGTCCACCAGTCTCATAGTTATTTCCTCTATATGAAAGAGACAAATACACACACATCAGTTACTGAGTGCACAAAAAAAACCTTCTGGGAAACTAGGCCTACATGACAATAATATGGTCATCGACTTTTCTTAATTACATGTATATAGGCCTATATATTATATTTTGAAGACATAAAAAAAACATGAAACCTAGACTATAATATAATAGAAACCAAAACATTCTGTACTGCAAGTTCTGAGGAAATATTTCATAAATCACTTTTCATTTTCATATGATGCACATTTAATTACAATATCAGGAAAGTACTTTGACACAGCATACTGCCATACATGTATTCAAAAAACTGTAAAATCATAACAAGTGTACAAGTGTCCCTAAACAAGGAAAAAAGACACTCTCCATCCGATCCCTCAAAACCCCTCCTCCCTCCCCAAGAACAGCAGTTATCCTCTGAGCCCATAATTCCAAGTCTAATATTAGGGGATATAGTTGGCTCTGCTATAGAAATAAGGCTACAAATTTTGCACATTGTAGCAGAAAAAAGTACTAGAAAATAATTGAGCCATGTTACTCAAAACGAGAAGATGTTGGTACAGTACAAACCAACACTGAAACAATTACATGTAAACACTTTGCCCCCTTGGGATCCCGATTGGGACCTGTAAGATTAAGAAGCTGTCCCTTTCCTCCGCAAGACACCGATCAGTGACAGTGTGATATAGCAACAAGAATGATGTAGGAATTATTTCCTTTTAGACACGTGCAAGTTACAGTTTTCCTTCTGAATGGTTTGTGTGGTGTTTGAACACAGAAATCCGTTTATTTACGATTGGAGTGAATTTAAAAAAAAAAAGTTGAACAGACCTAGCATGAGTGCTGCTTTACACTGACACCATGACGAGGATTTGGTGATGAATGTGAAGATATCATGGTTTCAGTTATGATTTTTATTCCATTTTAGGTGAACATGCGATTGTCCCATTCAATTCTATCAATTTGCTGAAAATTTCACACTGATTGGGGTATTTTATCCGAGATACTGGAACAACACTGATGTTCCCCATCTGCATCCGAGAATGTGGGGAAAAAGGTTTTGTGCTTTGTGAGCTGGGTGGGTGGAAAGTGTTAATGTTCAATTTTTAGTTTTTTAGTTTTAGTATGGGGTTTTACGGCGCTCGCAACTGCATGAGGTCATAATATGAGCGCGCGAAACAAGTTGGTTTTTTCTCAACGGTTCATTTTTCGGCTTGATACTGGTCAATATTTCTATTTAAAATTTTTTTAATGCTAAAAATCGAGTGTAAATAGGCTTTAGATTTAAATTTAAATTTAAAACAACTTTCTAAATAACACTTAAAAGTTTTGAACCATCTATTTCATAACTTTCCATAAAGGCCAATGGTCTTTATAAAATCTAAAAATCTGTTGGGAACAACGACAGAAAAATATCTTGTAATTTTGTGCATTTAAAGTATTTCTTACGGGTCTCTCCGAAGTCTAGACATTCGGTTAAAATGTGTCTAATGTTAAAATCTGTGTCGCATCCGACAGAGAACGGCTTCTCAACTCCCTGAAGGAGGTATTTGTGTGTTAGGGCCGTGTGTCCGATGCTTAATCGAGTAAAAATGACTTCGTCTCTTCTGGAGAGGCCCGAAGGATTTCGCAGTCCCGGTTTGGGTTTAATATTGTGGAGTTCGTTTCCCATCTGTTTTTTCCAGTTGCTCTCCCACAGACTGGAGGTGTACTTTTTTACTTTAAAAAAAAAAGTCAGTCAGTGGGAGAGTGTTCTTCGTTGATCCCAACAGAAGGGATGAGGATTTCTTCGTCAGGTCATCTACCTGCTCGTTTCCTCGGATGCCCACATGGCTAGGTATCCTATCCATGCGAACACGATACTTTTCCCTGTTTCAGTTAAGGTGTGTATTTTCTGTTGTAGATAACTATTTTTGAGTGTAGAAGTGTGTAGTTTGTGAGTGAGGTGATGTAAGACAGAGAGTCAGAAAGGATAAGGAAAGATTTGTTAGGAGAATTTTCTACGGAGTCCAGTGCCATGTCAATGGTAGTGGCCACAGCAGAGAAAATGGAGGCTTCAGGATGGAGTCCCCTCTGGTGTGTACTGTTTGAAGAGAGGGCTGCCGCGCCCACATCATTGTCTTTTTTGGAGCCATCTGTGAAGATAAGCTCCGCATCGGGGTATTTTTCTATAAGTTTTTTGTATTCTGCTTTAAATGTTTTGGTGTTTGTGCTTGCTTTGTTGTGTGTGGTCAGCTGTAAGTCTACTTTTGCCTTGGTGAGGTGCCATGGAGGGAGATCGGGGAAAAGAAATTGTTGGATGTCTTGTTTGGAAAAGTGTATGTTTTTGAGGTCCTCAAGGATTCTGAGGCCAAAGGGTTTGATGAGTTTTTCATTGTTTTGGATTTGTTTCTGGTTTCTGGGTTTGTTTTAAAAATGCAGTTGTGTGCTGGGTTCTCTGGTGTTGAGCTCTGTTTAATTGCGTATTGTAGTGAGAGTTGTGTGCGTCTGAGTGTGAGTGATGGTATGTTTGCCTCGGCCTGGAGGCTCTCCACCGGAGAAGTGCAGAAAGCCCCCAGAGCAAGAGGGAGTCCTTGGTTTTGCACTGGGTCTAGCATTTTTAGGATGTGTGGTTTTGCCGATCCGTAGACTTGACAACTGTGGTCAAGCATGGATCGGACAAGGGAGATGTACAAGTGGAAAAGGTGTTTTGAGTCCCTTCCCCACTCCGGATACGATAGAATTTTCAAAGCGTTTAACATTTTGTGGCACCTCACACGAAGGTCTTTGATGTGTGGTATGAATGTGAGTTTTTTGTCGAATATAACGCCGAGGAAACGAGCCTGGTCCTGGACGGGAATCCTTTCCCCATATAGTGTCAAATCCGGCTGCAGTACACGCCTGCAAGATCGGCCGAAGTGCACTGCAACCGTCTTTGACGGGGAAACCTTGAAACCGTTATTGTTTGCCCACTTTTTGAGTTTGTGCAGCAGCCTTTCCATAGATCTTAGATGAGGATTTTTCTAACGGCAGCATATCAAAAAGTCGTCAACGTATAACGAGCTGTCTATGCTGTTTTGGAGTGTTTTTACGATGGAATCTATTTTGATTTCAAATAGGAGAGGAGAAAGGATGCTCCCCTGGGGGACTCCTTCCTCATGTTTGTGGGGGTCTGAAAGGGAGGATCTGACACGAACCTAGAAGGAACGGTTCTTCAGGAAATTGCCAATGAAGGCAGGGAGGTACGTGACCGCATATGCCGAGTGCGTGCAGGTCTCTTAGAATGCCGTACTTCCAGATTATGTCGAAGGCTTTTTCTAGGTCGAAAAAGATGGCGATCATGTGGCCTCCTTCGGCAAACGTCTGGCATTAATGTTCAATGTACTGAGAACAGTTATAAATACTTATGGCTTTTTCTGCAGGAAAATTGAACAGAAGCAAGAGTGGGAATTCTTTCCAAATAAGTTGTCTAGAATATTCTCACCTCCTGTGTAGCACAGCACTCCTGCACGATTATTCTGACCAAAGCAGCCAAAGGACACGTTCTGTTGAACTTCACACTGCTTTCTGCCATTTGGGGAGTCAGAGCAAACAGATGAGCCAAACCAAACAAGCTCTCTAGTTTCCATTTGATCTAAAGGAGTGCTCCCTAGAGCTTTTCCTCCAGTATGCCCTCGTTCAGCACAAAATGTATCAGCATCAGCGTCATCCCAGTCTTGTGGGCATATTGCAGCTATGTACTGGTTATCCAGAAATGCTTTGGAAACTACCCCATGATCATTCTTCTCCACTGTCCATTCACTGAGCACTGTGTAGAAGCAAAAACATTAATAATACAGTAGGTTATGGCATCCATCCGAGAAATATTTTTTGCAATAAACACTATTGAAGTAAAAGCCCACAAAAATTCAGCTTTTTATCTGCTTCCAACCCAATTTATTTTTGTTTATAAATTCCCTTGAAACATTTATTTATCAGTTTTGGTGCCGGTATATTCAAACATAACTCAAAGTCATGTAGTTTCAGGTCTTTGCTTGTCACATCAAACTAAATATTTGTTTTAGAATTTGACTGTAGTTCCTTAAATAAAAGACATGGTAAATCAAAGTTGACAAATTCAAGACTGAAACTTTAGATTGATGCTAAAATATTTTTTCAAACTGTTAGGGAAGTTAAGGATAGCAATAACTAATTAGGCAACTTTTCAGTATTAAAATGGCATATTCTAAACTTATTTCTATATGGTACCTGATCTGAATTTTCACGCAGTATTCTTTCTGAACATAACAAGGCTGATCAAATGTTTGACTTTTTAAAAAAAGCCGATATCAGATAATGTAACAGACAAGGAAAGAAGAGGCTGAAAACATGCCACAGATTTCCAGTAGATTGATGGCCTAATGTAAATTAGGAAAGTAGACCTATGCATTTAAAAGGTTTCGTTTCATAAAGATATATAGTTACTGTAGCTTGAAGTAATGTACCCTTAAGCTTCAAGTTATACAGAAAAACTACAAGCTGTATATAAGCAAGAAGCCTGTAACAGTCAATTTAAACATGGTGTGATCTATCAGCAAACTTACAAGAAATAAGTCATTGTGTAGAAAAATTAAAATTGTGAGCTATGTTTTAGAATTTTTGAGTTGCCAAGGAAAATGTAAGATACACCCCTCCCCCTTTCCCCTTTATGACAGAAGTAGGCCTAATTAGCGCACCGCAGAAATTCGATGACAAAAGCTGATTTCGAAAATCAAAAATCACAAGGCAGCTAAAAAGACAAAAATGTTAACTTACAATCAATCTTGTACTCATAGCACAGCAGTCGCACTTGATTCTGTGTAGGACACTGCCCAACTCTCATGCCACAATCAATAAGATGAACATTTTCCTCAAGACACTGAACTTTTGTCAAAGTGTAATATGAATACTTGAGGTCTTCATCAAGACTTTTAGGGGTCAGAATGGCAGCTTGTGAATACCCTAATTCATCACACACAGCTTTCGCCTCTCTGTGAGTAAAAGTAGATTCAAAGCATACTGGTCTGTCATAATCGTCTTCCATCTTGACATTAAGAAGGCCAGACAGACTGTCTGGTGTCTGCTTGATCTCTGTGAAGAACACTGTGGACAAAATAGAAGACAATCATAACACAGGACTGCTCAGGCCCATTAATTATTTTGATGACTATCAATGGTTTATTCCTCCCTATGAAAAAAGATTATTTAGGAGATGGAGGTGGGATGCTTTAACTGTGCCCCTTGTGTCCAAGCTAGGCCAGAGAGGATACTATTTAATAGAGAAAAAATGAGATGCTTGACCACGTGTCTTCCCCTAGGGGTAATTAAACTCACATGTTTTGTATGCCATGCAAAGAGCCAATAAAAAACCCATTTTATCAGACATTGGTACAGTTGGACTCAAGTTAATGGATAGACAAAAGTAAACACCATGATGTTTACAGAATGCCCTCAACATGAAAAGATCTAATATTATGACAAGTTCTTCCATTTTTATTTCATTTTTTGCTTTCAATGAAAATACCCTTTTTTTTGCTTAGAAGAGAGATATGCATACTTCAATATTCATTCATAACATCTAATTATAGCTAAGAATTTCATGTTTGCAAAAGGCCAAGCAAAATCAGTCCTACAGATAAAGTAATTAAGCTACATTTTACTTTTTTTTTTCCCTTGAAAAACTTCATAAAAGTGAACAAGTGTGTCGACCATATTTTTTAAGCCATGGACAATGCCTAATCGTCTGATTCAATATTCTTGGAGTCATCAATGTGGGGATAAAGATACACACAGGGAGCTCAAAGTTCATATCACACATTGTTTGTTGACACAGGGGAAAAATAAAAAAACCCACATTGCTTCAAGAATGGGTATGCTGCCAATCATAGAATTATTAGAATAAATGTACAGCAAAAAAAATGCCACTGACCTCTGCCAAAGCAAACAACTCCTGCTTCCATGCTGTTTTCATCACAGTTGCTTACAGATGGATTTGGCTTCCATCCATCATTATCACAGGTGAAAAGATGGTCTTCCTCACCATTGCACTCGAAGCCAGACAGATAAATAGGCAAAGAACTTCTGGGATATCTGGCAGAAAAAGATTATGCAAACGCTTATGTATACAGTACATTTCCATTAGTGTGTCAATTATAGAAAACAGTCCATAACATAAATGAAAATAATAGATGTAAGATAACAGCCTTCATGCCTTCAGGCATATGATTATAAGTCAAAGTGTCAGTGCACTGTGTGTATTGAATGAGAGAGAGAGAGAGAGAGAGAGAGAGAGAGAGAGAGAGAGAGAGAGAAAGAGAGAGAGAGACAGACAGAGAGAGAGACAGAGATCTCGAGAGACAGAGAGAGACAGAGAGAGAGACAGAGAGAGAAAGAGAGATGAGACTGAGAAAGAGAGAGGGAGTAGAGATAGTAAACAGACAGACAGTCAGATGGATGGACAGACAGACAGACAGACAGACAGACAGAAAAAGATAAGGACAGAAAGAGAGACTGAAAGAATCGAAGAAAGAAACATTACTATTGCATTGAAAGTGTACTGCTTCATTTTTAACTCTTTTCCTACCAGGCCAAAATCCACCACTGGCCCATGGCTTTTCCCTGACCTATTTTTACGCCCTTACTCCACCAAAGGAAAATATCAAAACATCAACTAAACACACTCAAACCATATGGCCCTTCAAACTGAAGGTTATAAAGTAATCTATCAGATGGTGATACAATATTGAAGATTTATTTCAAATATATTAGTTTGGGGTTTCTAAAAGTGATAATGCAATATCGAAGGTGTCATATGAAATCAACAATTTTCCAGCTTTGAAAGGTCATATCTCAAAAGTACAACAACAGCATCATTCTAACTTTCCAGGTAGATTGCCTCAAGTAACGCAAAGAAATGCTGAAAGTTATGTGTACCTAATATAGAAGTGAAAATATGAGACATATACTGGAGTCAGGGGAGCGCTTTTCTTCTCATTTTTACGTTTTGAAGGGGGAAAAAAAAAGCACTGAAATGACTAAAAATCGTATCTCAGTGCTATATTTTCTTTCGTATTTGCTAACAGGAAGTCTATTGCATACGTGGATCGGCCGAGAATTTCATTACTGGATTGGAATAGATAGCAAGCCACAGAGCCGTATTTTGCGGCCCTCGGTCCAGCGAGGCCACGTTCGCGAGCCGCAAAATGCAGCTTGCGGTAGGGAAAGTGTTAATGCCAGCAAAATAAAATTCTCTAGAGGAAAATGATCTACTTCTCATCTTATCCTTACTGCAAGTGTATCATACAAGTATGACAATGTTTTGTGAACAAATGAAAGTTACATGTTCTATGAAGCTCATAAACCACAAATTATTTCAGTCCATATATATTATGCACCAACCCAAATAAATGCAACAGATCTCTCCTTGGACAGGGTGTAGGCTTGTTGAAAGAAATTTTCCTGAAAGTGAACTCAAAACCAAGTATGCAATATCTCTTACACTAATATTCATTTCATTCTTTCAAAGTTCACATAAATACAGAAATCATTTTATTGTCTAGAAGTCTATTATTCTTCTGTTTGCACGTCTTAGGGGCTATTGATATAATTCTGTGCTTTCAAATAGGACTAACTGAAAATAGTTGAATGACTAATGATGACGTCAATATAACAGTCTCAGCAACTCACGATGTGGCTACCCCTCTTTTGTAGACATCACTTAGTTGTCGGCAGGCAACAGAGGCATCCTGGTCATCCCATTTATTAGCACAGATAGCACCAGGCACATTGTTGATGTTAAGCTGAAGCCGAGCACCTTGCTTCGGACCACCGTGACCAGTAATTTCTAAACTTGGACCTGCAAAAAGAGATCAATGAAGAAATTTCAAATAATCAGTCACAAGAAGAAGGTGCTAAGCAAAAATCAAGACAGCTAACACAGCAACTAGCACCAACTGGATTTCCACGCTCGGGATGATAAAAATCTTAAACTAAAAATATGATACACAAGGATGTTCAGTTAGATTTGGAGCAAGGTCAGAATAAAAATGGCCACATTTCACCTGGAACAGGTTAGGAAAGTAACCTGGACTACAGATGGCCCACAGAAAAACGAACAAAATACCTGAACTTTTGATACAGCAGTCTTCCTGCTAAATTTGTCTCAATTCCCCCTTTCTGTTCACATTCTTCACTAGCTATGGTTGCACATTTATTCAGCTTCCTGAGCTCTTTAATTTCAACCCCCTTCATATTTTTTTTGGTTCTTAATGAAATGTTAAAGTAAATTCTAATGGTTAACAGCAAATCAGGCACAGTTTCAGTTTCATGTCAGTCATCTATTTTTACAGGGGCCAAGCCTACCACTGAAAAAATCTTATTAAATTACAATGGTGAGCCCAGCTAATTTCAGCTTGGTTGAATTTTAGACTTGCATTTTTTATTGGCTAGATTAAACAGGAGCGGGTTAATTAAATCAATATAATAATGCTGTTAATTTACAATTATTCAAATCAAAGTTTGCAAACTAAAAAAAACCCATTATGGACATGAAAAACTGCGCATTAGGTTATAAAACGCAAAACTCCGCTCATAGTACACAAAAGTTTCATGATCAGTAAACATGATCAACAGACAATCTGATAAAACGGATTAGTTCAAAACTTTTAAGCAAACAGGTTAGTTTGTTCAAGTTTGAGTGTCAACCAGTCATTTTTACAAAAATCAGCTACAATCACTTTCCTCCTTTTGCTGTAGTTACACTTCCAATCAAAGGAAAGATTGCAAAACACTGCGCTGGGTCACATGCACCAATTCAACAGGCTTCTAGACACAACTTACTGTTTTATAACTAGTATGTATTTTATAACCAGTGAAAACAATGGCACCTTCACTGGTATTTACGACATGTTTGTTTGAACTATCAAAATATTACATCCTTGTTGAAACTATGAGAGCTGAAATAAAAAGGTACAACTTTGATAAGCTAAAACAGACAAAAATAACAAAACTTTAAGATGGAAAAGTATTTCAATTTTAAAACTGGTTAATTTTTTGCTAGTTATAATCAGTTTTAGGAGAATCTCATTAAGAAAATAAGTATTAATTGTTTTGTACTCTAAAGTTAACCTGGTAATGGCCATATGTATCATGACATGGTGGAATCAGGAGATCATCAATTTTTGGACATGTGGAGTTACAGATATCATTTTACAGCTTGTTCAATTGTCTTGCTTTTGGGGGAAAAATACTCATCTATCATGAATAGAAGTCGAGATATTTGTGACTGAAGGAGGAGGGGGTTGTCTGGTTTAAGAGGCAAAATTATCGAGAAAATGGACGCCAAAGTTTGGGGACTTCCAAAGCTTGAAAGTCCTTACAAACTGCAAATTTACATTTTTGTGTCTTAAATCAACATTTTTTTGGTGAAATCCACCCTGGAATATGTTTTTAAATGGGCCTTAAAGGTGTTGAGTCAAAAAATAAAAATTCGATAAAAATTGCAAAAGACACAGAAAAATGCAAATTTCTTCGATTTCATTATTTTGACGAGCGCCTGATTTCACCACAATTGCATGTTGCAAAACCCAGCCGAAAAAAAATGATAAAGTCATTTACTATTTCTATTCATGAAAAGAAAGACATACCTCCAGATGTGTAGCATAGAACAGATGCTGCTGCTGCATCAGTACATAAGTACTGAGAACTACTGCAGTCAGCATATCTCTCCTCACTGCCATTGCAGTTGGGGAAAGTGACAAAGTAAGGCCCTTTGACATCTTTCTGTTGTGTGAAAGATACACCGCCAGAGTATGAGTGGCCTAGAGCAATACCAAGCTCCTTACAGAAGACCAAAGCATCAAGTTCATTGAAAGTCTGACCACAGGCAAAGCCCCAGGTGTTGTTCTGGAAAATCTTGAGTACTCCAACAGCTTGGGTGTCATCACTAAAGCCATTTTCCACAGCAAAAGTACCTGTTAAAAGAAATTTGGTTATATTGTACTACGCATTAATTTTGAAAGCAAAACCAGCACTATTACAACTTTTTAAATGCAGATAGGAAATTAACAAGTAAAATGAACTGTCAGTTGTGCACAGCATTAACAAAAACTGCAGCTCCATTCATTTTTAAAAAACCCATCCGAATTTCTCTTGAAACTTTTTACACAAAACAAGGCCTAGTAATAGATTATTATAATCTAAGGCCAAACATCCTTTATATACAGCTCTTTCAGTCTCAATTTGAATCGGTTTTCTACCCTTTATCTAATTTACAGTAAGGGCAAAAAATTATTTGATCTATTTTACCATCTGCAGGGGCTTGAAATTAAACCTTAAGTTAAATTCTGTTTTTTAGTAAATGCATACATTCTGCTGGTACAATTCTGAAATAGTGGGGAAGGAAATAAAAAAATGTACCTGTACGGACTTCATTAAAACATGACACTGAAACGTAATCTCCGTATAGGTTACAGTCCACAATGTCCTCGTCATATGGACAGTCAGTAATATGTGTCTCAGATCCAGTACAGTTTATAGATGTTCTGAGATGCCCAACATCTGATCCAACAATGCCAAAAGCACCAGCTGGAAGAACAGTTCCTTGACTGAAGCCATACTTTTTGCATGCCACCATGGCATCTATTTCATCAAAGCCATTCCTGCATATGGTGGACCATGTTGATGTTTTATTGTCAAAAAGTTGTAAAACACCGGAGGCTTTATAGCCTGGATCCAATTTTGCTGAAATAAGAGAGAGCGACACAGAGTTGTAAAAGAAAGGTAAAAATGACCAGTATGGTAGAACTTACTGTCAGCAAGATTCTTCTAGTAATAGCATCAAATTGTACAACAAAAGCCAATAAAAGACAAACTCAACCAAAAAAAAAAAGACACAGTATGGAACTCTTGACTTTTGTCTTTTCCATAATTCTCTGTGTTTTTAAGGAGCAGAAAAAGAATTTCTTTAGTACCAACATAGTTTGCAGAATACTTTGTGAATTACTGCATTTGACTGACTGCTTTTTGAACATAATACATGTTATATAAAATTGAGTAGAATGAAATTGACGTAAAAACATCACAATGTATTAACTCATTCTAGAACACACTGCAATATAATTTTAATTTAACTAATGCTAGCAAAGATTCTATGAAAGTTTAATTTTAACTGAATCCATTGAAATAAGAGTTTTTTCCAAACAACAGAAATAATTATCAAAATTTAAAAAAACTGTTCAATAAGGAACACCAAGTGATGCATTATTAACAAAAACTGCATCTTTAGGTAAATAAGCAAAACTTATCATATACAAAAAGTAATCATCAATGACTTGCAGGAGATGCAAAAACTTTCCAACCCCCCACCGTGCTTCCTTTTCTACACCTGCCCCTCAATATACCCCCCCCCTGAAAAAAAGACAGCAAAAGAAATGCAAATGCAAAATGTTAGGACCTTCACCAGTCAAATGTGAAATCCAGAATTATTGTTTATTGAAGTTGAGGAATTCTTCAAGACAATCAATTTTTCTTTATGTTTTAACTATTACATTGAAAATAATCATGATGATGGTGAAAGTGAAGACACTGATAATGCTGGTGAAAAAAATGACTGTGACAGTAAACAACTTGCTTTCTTCAAAGCAGGCAATCCCCGCTGGCTTTGGGTTGGTGATGCATTCTTCTGAGGGTATGTTCCAGCCATGGTTGTCACATTGGAAAAAGTTTGTCTCTGATTTTCGGCATTTCACACCACTCAGTATGGGTCTGTAATTAAGATAAAGTTATGTCAGAAAAGGGGATGATATAAAAGATCAACAGAACTTGAAAGGGGAGGGGGAGAAAAATTAGAATAGTTCAGTGCTTATCTATGTGAGAAGCAGTTGCAAAGAACAGATTTGGGCAACAGAAACAAAGTAAAGAAATAGAAAGACAACACACCAGTGCCTACCCCTTAACCACCTGCTCTCAAGATAAAAGAAAAGGGTGGCCACAGCTGCTACAATAACAGCAAATACCACAACAATAACACATAATAACAGCAGAAAAAAAATAAAATAATCCAACTTTCCCGTTGCCTTAAGTGCTCTTATAATAGTGCAAAATAGTGTCATGCTGTTATGTTCTTTAAGTATAATCAATGAGGTACTGTTGCAAATAAAATTGATAAGATTTACAAATTAAGATATTTGTGAGGCATATCGGTGAAATCAGGCACTTCTCAAAATATCAAAGAAGAATAAACCGGCATTTTTCCACTCATATTTCAATTTTTATTGATTTTTGTTTTGTTTTTTGGCTCAACACTTTAGTATAATATTTAAAAACCTATTTCTGAGTGGATTTTACAGGAAACCATTGGTACAAAAAATGTAAATTTTCTGTTTCAAAGGACTCGACTCAGGCTTTGGAAGTCACTAAGCTGTGGCAGCTATTTTCTCACTAATTTTACCTCTGAAACCACATGACCCAACCTCCTTCAATAGGAAATATCTTAATTTCTATTCAAGACAGAGGGGTATTTTTTAAATTGAAAGTAAGGCAAATGAACGCCTGGTCTCCTGGTTTCAGTGGTGAAATTAGAAGAAAAATGGCTGCCAAAGTTTGGTGACTTCAATAGCTAATGAGTCTTAGAAAACATTAAAATGACATATTTTGTGCCTTTAATCAATGTTTTTCAGTTAAATTCACTTGGAATTGTGTTTTTATATGGACATAAAAGAGGTTGAGCCAAAAATAAAAATTTGATAAAAATTACCAAACTGGCAGGCCCGTTTCTCCCATTTCTGTATTTTGACAAGCATCTGATTTCTCCATGCAGCCTCACATAATATACATGCCACATTCTTTCAAAATGATTATAAATTACAACTCCAAGGTCACACCTACAGCAGGCACTGCTATGGGGGCACTGAGATAGACCAGAAATCTTCTGGATCGATAACAACAACTACTAGTACAAACGTACTTACAACCTAGTTAGCAGCACAGGAGAATGGTTTACGAAAGACTTCTATTTACAGAATTTTATGAAAGACGAAAGGTATGAGTTATACTGGCCAGTAAAAATTATAACAAACAACAGTAACAACTTATACTGACACAAGTGAGTGATCATAAGTATGCGGGACCCATGCTCTTCCTCCATTGTATCCTATGGTGCGACAGGCAGCATTGGCTTCTTGATCCCCCCAGTCGTCTCCACATACTACACTCGTGGTTCCATCATATTTGACTGTGAGCACTCCTCTCACATCCACTCCCATGGCTGGCTCCTGGATGACCAGCTCCAGAGCTAAGGAAAGAGGATTCGTTTTACATAACCGTTCACAAAGGAAGATTGTTTTTTTTTGTCAGCACTCAAGTGAGCATAAGCAAGAGAGTGAATAGGTCAGTTTGTGTGTGTAGTAAAGTGTGGGTAGAGAGAGAAAAATAAGAATCAAGATCAAGCACAGAAAAATACAAGGGAAAACAGGAGTGACAAACATCTACAAATTTATACTGGGACTAAAATTAAAATGTGAGGCTGTGTGGTGAAATCAGGCGCTCGTAAAAATAATGAAATATTTTTCTGCCAGTTTGGCAATTTTTATCTAATTTTTGTTGTTTGGCCTAACACCATTGCTGTCCAATTAAGAACACATTTCTGGGTGGATTTTAGTAGAAAAACGTTGAGTAAGGGCATAAAAAATGTAAGTTTTCAGTTTCCACGGACTCTCAAGCTAAGGAAATTACTAACTTGGCGTTTATTTTCTTACTGATTTTATCTCTGAAACCAAGTGACCCCCACTTCCTTCATTTGCAAATATCTCGACTTGTATCCAAGACAAATGAATATTTTTTTCATCTAAAGCAAGACAGATGAACAAGCGCTTTAAAATGATACCCAATAACTCCACATGCAAATTGACAAGCGCCTGATTCCACCACGTTCCGACACAAATGCGCCAGTAACATCGTTAGAGTGAAAGATAATAGATGGCACAAAAATACACTGAATGGAGAACAAGAACAGGAAAATAATCAAGAAGAAGTACAGAAAGAAGAGGGGCAAGATGACATCAGACAGCGGATGGGTACAACCTGGACACAGTGGACAGCTGATATAAAACAGAGTGGATAGTGGAGGTTATTGAAGGGCTACATCCTGCAGTGGACAGAAAACACCTAGAAAGAAGGACAGAGAGAGAGAGAGAGAGAGAGAGAGAGAGAGAGAGAGAGAGAGAGAGAGAGTGTGTGTGTGTACATGTACACTTGTAAGCATTCATTCAAACACGTGGAGGATTGAAAGACATAGTAATACACAAGACTTTTTTTTTTCATAAGAACTATATAGTATATCGTCATTGATTACCCAATAAAAAACAATAATCATGAAAGTTAAAACAATACCATTATTGTGATCTGGATTAGTTTGTAGACAACTTAATTCAGGTCCAAACACACACACACACACACACACACACACACACACACACACACACACACACACGCACACACACACACACACACACATCATGAAATAAAATTAAATGAAGGAAACAAAATCTTACACGTAACAAGAATGAAGTGAAATAGATCTAAAAGTTGCTTTTAAGGGGGCTCGATACTTAGGAACAACATTTTAAACTGAAGACAAACTGAAACAACTTTTGTCTCAGGCAGTTAGTAAGAGACAAAAGATTCATGTTCAACTGTTGACACACTCGATTACGTAAGTCGTGGCTATGGAAACGGTGGCCGTCTTGGAAATTGGATAGAATTTTTTTCGGAGTGGCTACACGCCCGATCTAGAAGTTCTGCGCAGGTTCCGGGTGAATGAATTCGGTTGATAAGCCCCGCCTGGTCTGCGGCTTCTGGCCCTTGGGGATTTCTGTGCATGTTCCGTGTTCTGGCCCGTGGGGATTTCTGCGCATGCTCCTTTAAAATTCGCGGGATCAATCGCGCCAGATTCAGTCACTCTCTCTCTCTCTCTCTTTCTTTCTTCCCCCCACCTCCCTCCTCCTCTCTCTCTTTCTCTCTCTGCTCGAAGACAAAATTTATTGCTTTCAACTCAGCGCTGGAACTTTTGTTTACACTCGTAATCACGGCTGTTATGCGCCAAGAAGACGAGGTAGATCTAGCGTCCAAGTCTCGTTCAGACGCGAGATAGGGCAATGGAAACATCTTTGTAGTAGTTAGACAATCTTTAATAGCATAACGGCGCTGCATTTCTGACGCTAGCCACCCTAGATCGGGCGAATAGCCTGACGCTAGCCACCTGACATCGGGCGAGTAGCATCGGCCAATTTTTTTTTACTTCACCATTTCTACAGTTTTTAACTTTATAAAATTCTGTAACTTGCAAATTGTAACAAGTAAATACGTGGTTGGAGCTGGCTATTTTCATTTTTGATGCTATACTTCGAGAGTATCCAAAATTGTTCTCAAAGTTATGGAGATATGGAATTCGATCTTTAAAAAATATTTTTGGCAGGAAAAAAAAGTTGCAAAAGAAATTCTAAAGCAAAATGTAAAAACCTGACCAGCCAACTATAAACTGTACAAACCACTTTTCTAACTACACGCCTAAATTGGGAAAATTTTAAAAAGTGGTGACAACCCCCCCGCAAAAAGAGCATGAAAATAGAACAGAAAAGCAAGATTAATCACACTCCCAATTTGAATAATGAACTAGCAGAAAAGAGAAGAAAACAAAGTAGATCTGTAAACGCGTAAATAAGTAATCATGTTAAATACGTACCAAATAGAGACATGAATTGTAGAAGTCTTTCGCCTCTTCAAATAAATAAATAAAAGAATGAATAGAAGTAGAAGTGGAAAAAAATCTGCGTTTAGGGTTCAGTGTAGCCCTTTTATTTGAACGGTAGCCCCTACTCTTTTGTCCACACGGCGGTCATGCAATCATCTGGCCCCAGAAGATCGGTCATTACTCATTACTTGTCGTCTATCGCCACGACCGTTGTGTCTTGTCAATAGGGTGTTGGAGCAAGGTGAGATAACTGGTGCTTTCTCCTCTCGGGTTCGTGTAGGACGGACGGCGCTAAACCAACAAACAGCATACGCGTAATGCCAGTCGGCACCGACAGCCTTTAGACGTGTCACGTTCGTTCCCAAGATTGGGAATAGGGGAGGGGGAGGGGCAGATGAGGGAAAGGGGCGGGGGAAGAAGGGGAGACGTGTTTGTTCGTGGTTTGTCCGACAATCGTACGTTTAGAGAACGAGAAACTAATTGTAAATCTATGCTTGCTTTAATAACGATTTTAGTCCCATCCTGTGACTCTTGTTCTTAAGGTGGTGCAGGCTTTGTTTGGTCAAAGAACGGTTTTAGTTCTCAATCAGGAACTTGCTTGACCTAGTGCACACTTCCTGGGTCTCCACTCTCCGTGGGTCACATGTAGGATCTAAAGTGTTTCGATGACATTTACATATCAGGTCATGTAAAGAAAAGCAAATCTTGAAAAACAATCCACGCCTAAGGCCACCCTGTTTAGGATTCGAACCAGGGTCACCTGCTTCCTAATCCTGCACTTTATGAACTGCGCTAAATGAATTTTCAAGAGAAAACTGATCGTAAAAGTAATTAGTGTTGTGTAGCCTTTACTGTTCTCGTTAGTAGACGCATCCACCCTTTACTGTTTTTTTTTTTGTTTTCTTTTTAACTAAATGTAAAATAACAACGTTATCTTTTTGATTATACACAATCATCAATTTCCTTTGTTCTTGAACCGTGCGCACTGTTCCGTTGTTGCGCACTGACCCAAATTTGGAAAGATCGTTCATTATCGCCGACCTATTTAAAGCAGCATTACCTGGTCGAAATTGGATAGTTTTCGGTCGCTAATGTTTAACAGATTTGCATAAAAGTATCCACCTGGCATCGGTTCAGAGGGAATGGATATGGTTAGACAGATGAGTAACTAACGCAACAATGCGGCAAATACACAATCAATAGTTACTCGGAGCGACTCGGAAGGATAATAATTATAAATAGGTCATTTTGACTCGTACCTCCAACAGGGGGCGCGTTTCCCCTGTCTGAGGGATTGCACTCAACGTCACAATGTGAAAAATTATTGAGATGTATGGGTATTAGCTTGAAATTTTTTTTAAAATGGCACAACTGTTTTCACGTCAACATTGACACAAATTACGTAATAGAAGGCGTGGGTTTCCTTCACTTCAGTTGTCAGGGCCAATCCGGCTTTGAGCGATTGAATAAGACAATACTGGAGACAATTTTGCCACGGGAAAATAATTGTCTTATCGCGTGAAAAAAATGAGTAATTTTTCTTTATATCTTCTTCTTCTTCTTCTTTATTCATTCTTCTATGTGTCTTTGAATAAGGGACTATTAAATATAATACAGTGGATTTAAAAACAAAACCAACAACCAAAAAATCCTCAACTACAACTACAACAAAAACAAACAAACAAACAAACGAAGAACCTAAACAACAAACCTTTGAGTTGGTCACGAAGTCTTGCAATTATGTGAGTTATTCAGCCATTTATCCACGAAGCTGTGCTGAGTTTTGCCGGAACTTTTTCAGACAGTCACAGTCTCGGTTTCCTCATTATCTCCGAAAAACACCAGATTGATCACTTTTGACCACAAAAAGAGAGACACATGCAAACACACAGATACCCATCCATACACCCACATAGACCCCCCCTCCTTCTCTCTCTCTCTCTCTCTCTCTTTCTCTCTCTCTCTCTCTCTCTCTCTCTTTCTCTCTCTCTCTCACACACATACACACACACACACACACACAGACACACACAGACACACATACATACATACGTACATACATACATATATACATACATATATACATACATATATACAT